AGTGACTTATTGGGGATCCGTAACAGAATCTTGGGGAACATGTACTAGTGACTTATTGGGGATCCATAACAGAATCGTGGGGAACACGTACGAGTGACTTATTGGGGATCCATAACGGAATCGTGGGGAACACGTACGAGTGACTTATTGGGGATCCGTAACAGAATCTTGGGGAACATGTACTAGTGACTTATTGGGGATCCATAACAGAATCGTGGGGAACACGTACTAGTGACTTATTGGGGATCCGTAACAGAATCGTGGGGAACACGTACTAGTGACTTATAAGGGATCCAGAACAGAATCTTGGGGAAAACGTACTAGTGACTTATTGGGGATCTTTAACAGAATCTTGGGGAACACGTACTAGTACTCGGTAACTTATTGAAATCTTAACGGCCCGTCCACACAGAAGAGGTCTTTAGGGCCAATAAAAGGTACATTAAACACCCTTATGAGGGATTTATAGTTTCATGGGGCCCTTGCTGACCTGTCAGTGTTCTAGTTGTTTTTTTTAGTTATTTTTGTCTACGAGAGACATCATGACTGGTTCAACACATCAGTGTGGAGGTCCAACACATCAGTGTGGAGGTGGAATCGACCATCTAGTTGTTTTATAGTTATTTTTGTCTACGAGAGACATCATGACTGGTCCAACACCTCAGTGTGGAGGTGGAATCGCCCACCGATTTTGATCATATAATATTTGATTAAAGTCTGTTGCATGTTCGATCGGAAGGGGTTGGGGAACAGGGAATGGCAGCATTATCATATTACATCATTTAAAAATACAGAAAACTAGATATCATATGAGATCATTTTACAAGAAAATCACCATTTCATCCACACATAACACTTTTTTCACTAGTTATTATAAACATGGAGGTAATGGAAGTATGAATTTATAATGAATGTGCTTTCATAGATATAGCTATCGACATATCGAGTGATATAGTGGAATCAAAGAGATATATTTAAAGCGGAATCGAATATCAAAGAGCGATATATATCTTGGAAACAGACGTAAATTTACAAACCTTGGCTTTGATTGGCTTATAAATATTAATACAAACAACATTATAGAACGCGTACGCTCAATCGCAGTGGCAATGTCTTATGGTATCTTACACCGAAAATACCGCAGGAAAGTGATCTGCTGGTGTCCACAGAGTCTACAGGTAATGCCTCTACTGGTGGCTGATATATGTATATACTCTATAACAACTGTAAATATTTATGACACATTTGTTATTCTTTCTGTAATTTCAGTTACGTCCATGTGATAACGATTATGATAATATTTTGTAGAAATGTTGATGCTTCGAACTTTTTTTTGGTATCTGAATTGTAATATTCTCGCTTAAGACTATTTTAGTGACGAACTTGTTTTTGTTCGTGCAGTTAATTCAAAGTCATGTTTCATGCTTTTATTCCAAAAGAAGTTTATAATGGTATTTATAATCTTTTCCTGAACAACAAGGCCACATGGTCGAGATGTCTATGCGTTTGACAGAAAATTAAAATATTTCCACAGATATTGTAGTTCTAGGAATAGCCCTTTATAAAATTATTTCTTGCCCACGAATCAATTTGTGTATGGAAAATAAATAAAAGTGAAAGAGCTATAAGAGAGACACTTTCGGCTTACTTTTAAAATTCTGTCAACATGATTCTGGTTTGTGTTACTTGACGGTCTATACTATGGCCAACTGTTTACGAAATATTAACCTAGTATTTTTATTGATGTCTTTTTCGCTCCCAGAATTAGGAAATGATTTCACCACCAGTTAAGGTGCCTAGTATGCTGTTAACATCCCGTCTGCCTGTCTCACTTTACGCCGTCGTATGTTACATAGTCATTGTAGCAGCACGATAAATTGTAATTAACATTGTTTTAATACACATTATATAGAGGATCGCTCGTACATTTTTCTTTTATTCTAGATTGATGAAAATGTCCGTAATAATTTTTACATGTCTTAAATCTCTTTTATAAGCAATAGATGTCTCTACAATATCAAACTATCTGAAAAGTGTTAATTCACGTTTGTAATTTTTTGTGTAACTCTTCATAACAAGATATTATTTTTTAATCGTTTTCACAGATACGTGGTTAACCCATAATTAAATTGTTTTTAGCGAGACGTGATTTGGTATTTAAATTCTCTTATGTTTGTTATGGCTTGCATTATTTGATGGTAAAGCCACACAAAAAACTTCGATTAACGGCGATGCATGATTAAATTAATACAACTTTACCAGTAATGATAGGGGCCAAGTATTATGTGACCTGGTGGGTGCCTTGGCCGCGCTATGTCAGCGAGTTAGCACTCTCAAATCGGCATCTGATCCGCGCTATCGCAAGGAAGTCAAGTAATCAGTATACCGCCTCTAGCACACTCTCAGAGGCTCGTTCTTCATTTTAGCTATGGTAACAGGACGCTAACGCCAAAAACAGGTCGAAGTAAATTCCGAAAACAAATAGACGACAGGAGAGTTAAGATCAGCAACTCGTCTACATGCATGATCTGAAACTAGAATCATGACATTGTGTATATTATAAAATATGGTTTTTAGGAGCGACACCAAGCGAAAGAAGTAAACCGCAAAATAATGATAAAACATTTGAGATCGTTTTATTCCTTATCAAATATTTGCAAAGCAGTGACTCATGTATGTAAATATATCATATTACATTCATTACTCAGATATTATAGTTTTCCTATTATTGTTTTAGTCTCAAATGCATTAGGATGTACTTTAACGAACCAGTGTTCTGATTGGTGGTCATTATTTTCAGTTTGTGACCGATATTAACTCAACGAGGATGACATTCAACATCATGGCAGCTATGTGTAGTAACAGAGGAATCGGAATAGCCAACAAGCTCCCGTGGCCGTCACTAAGGTTTGTACAACAAGCTTCCGTGGCCGTCACTAAGGTTGGTACAACAAGCTTCCGTGGCCGACACTAAGGTTTGTACAACAAGCTTCCGTGGCCGTCACTAAGGTTTGTACAACTTACATGTAACATGACGGACTCCATACCAGGTGCAGCACGCTTTCTTTAACATTGTATATCACAGGTCGTCGTTAAGCATGTTTGTTCTAGCTTAACGGGTGATGCATCTAGAACATAGATCATCGAACGTTTTCGCTAGTAATGTTTGTTTTCTGTGACCAGCTGCATACCGAAGGTCACGGGTGTTATACGAAGCTATTAGCCCACAATTTTGTTTTCCTGATCGTCGTAAAGGTAGGAATCTATTAGCCTATTATTCTATTTTCTTGATGGTCGTGAATGTATATCTGTTATAATATCTTGGTTGATTCATTTACCTTCTTGATGTAATTTCTGTGGCCAGCTCTTGAATATTTTAATCTTAGCATGACGTATCTTACATGTGCTACCTAGGAAATAGTTAGCTTTCATTTTAACTGGGGTTGATGTCCGGTATAGCGTCCATTCATCGTTGGAAGCCTACCATTGGGCACATTATACCTTTGTATTGATGAACCGTTAAGGTTATACCATACTATCAGGCTTAAACTTGAAAATATAGTAAGATTATTGGTACTTTATTTATAAAGCATAAACCATAATTACGGTATGTACATTCATGTAGTAAAAGGTCAAATGGCATTCATGATCTACATATTAATCAATTTTTCAACACTTATATGAATTATATACATATCGTTCATTTCAGTTTCGATACTTGATTCATGTGTAATAGTATCTTCTAAGGCAAGTGCTAGTGTATTTTTCCTTTTTTTCGTGTTTCAGTAAAGAATATCGGTACTACATGGACCTTACATCTAAAACCGTGCATCCCGGTATGTATGTGATTACGCTTTCAATCATTTGGTGAAGCTTTTCTAAACTTAAGAAGACGTTTTTAAGTTGACGAAGCTTTTCTAAACTTAAGAAGACGTTTTTAAGTTGACGAAGCCTTTCCAAACTTAAGAAGACGTTTTTAAGTTGACGAAGCTTTTCTAAACTTAAGAAGACGTTTTTAAGTTGACGAAGCTTTTCTGAAACCTGCCACGACTTTTCTGTGACTTGAGGCTTTTACAACTGTTTGTCTCATAAAATTTAAAAAAGATGACCACAGAGATCAGAGTATTACACTAGAATTACATTCACATATAATTGATGGTATAATGGAACACCTATGTACCTGGAAGCACTCTTTTATCTTCAAACGATTTGAATGATAACACCACATTAACTGCTTAGGAGTTGCCATACGGATACACAGAATTATATATCTAGTTATGGATTAACAACCTGACGAAGCTTTTCTAAACTTAAGAAGACGTTTTTAAGTTGAAGAAGCTTTTCTGAAACCTGCCACGATTTTTCTGTGACTTGAGGCTTTAACAACTGTTGTCTCATAAATTTTAAATAAGATGACCACAGAGATCAGAGTATTACATCAGAATTACATTCACATATAATGAATGGTATAATGGAACACCTATGTAGCTGATTTGAATGATAACACCACATTAACTGCTTACGAGTTGCCATACGGATACACAGACTTATATATCTAGTTATGGATTAACAACCTGATATCATATTTGAATTGGTCAATGAAGTTTAAATAGTTTTGTTGTGATGGATTTTCCATACCGACACACAGAATTATATATCTAGTTATGGTTTAACAACCTGATATCATATTTGAATTGGTCAATGAAGTTTAAATAGTTTTGTTGTGATGGATTTTCCATACGGACACACAGAATTGTATATCTAGTTTTAGTTTTTTGTAATAGGTTTTCCATACAGATACACAGAATTGTATATCTAGTTTTATTTTTTTGTAATAGATTTTCCATACGGACACACAGAATTGTATATCTAGTTTTGGTTTTTTGTAATAGGTTTTCCATACAGACACACAGAATTGTATATCTAGTTTTAGGTTTTTTTGTAATAGATTTTCCATACAGACACACAGAATTGTATATCTAGTTTGAGTTTTTTATAATAGATTTTCCATACGGACACACAGAATTGTATATCTAGTTTTAGTTTTCTGTAACAGATTTTCCATACGGACACATATAATTGTATATCTAGTTTTAGTTTTTTGTAACAGATTTTCCATACGGACACACAGAATTGTATATTTAGTTTTGGATTAACAACCTGATATCATAGTTGATTTGGTCAATGAAGTTTTAATAGTTTTTTGTAATAGATTTTTCATACTGACACACATAATTGTATATCTAGTTTTGGTTTTTTGTAATAGATTTTCCATACAGATACACAGAATTGTATATCTAGTTTTAGTTTTTTGTAATAGATTTTTCATACAGATACACAGAATTGTGTATCTAGTTTTAGTTTTTTGTAATAGATTTTCCATACAGATACACAGAATTGTATATCTAGTTTAATTTTTTTGTAATAGATTTTCCATACTGATACACAGATTTGTATATCTAGTTTTAGTTTTTTGTAATAGATTTTCCATACGGACACACAGAATTGTATACCTAGTTTTAGTTTTTTGTAATAGATTTTCCATACGGACACACAGAATTGTATACCTAGTTTTAGTTTTTTGTAATAGATTTTCCATACGGACACACAGAATTGTATACCTAGTTTTAGTTTTTTGTAATAGATTTTCCATACGGACACACAGAATTTAATATCTAGTATTTCGGATTACAACCCGATATCATATTCTATTTGGTCAATGAAGTTTTAATATTTTTTTTGTAATAGATTTTTCATACGGACACACAGAATTTAGTATCTAGCATTTCCGAAAATAACCCGATATCAGACATTTTTGGTCAATGGATTTGTAATAGATTTTTGTTATCGTTTTTTTTCCATACGGTACATTAAATTTTACATCTTCTATTCCGGATAATGCATTTTTTAACGTCCCATTAACAGCTAAGGTTATTTAAGGACGTGCCTGCATGTGTGTTGTGTAAGCGTGCATGCGTGTATATGTGCCGGAGACAGGATATGTTGGTTTACTTGACTCCTTGTGGTAGCGCGGCTCTGATGCCAACTTTATAATGCTATCTCACTGAAATGCTATGCTGAAGGCACCCACCACAATCCATGCGCTCACGTTTTCAGTTAAAATTATTTCTTCGTGTTACTATATGTTAGTAAATATGTCAGGTTTCCTCTTGAATAAAATGTTAATTTCTTTACATTGTCATAAATTCTACAATTTGGAACAATTATAAAGTTTTGATAAGTAATCCATATCGAATTCAAAAATCTCCGCAGCGTCGATGATTTTAAGGTAGTAACTCTTAAACGAAATTATTTATTATTGTTTATTTTTGTTCCAGCCAGAGTATACTACGTGCGATTTGAGAATGTGTATTTCCCCCACTTAACCAATGTAAACGTGTTATACCTGTGCTTTGAATCTCAGAGCATCTCGAGTAATAGTAGCTGTTTTTTGTGATGTCTTTATTATCTGCGCTATTGTATTCGAATTGGAATATGTGTTTTAGCGGATAAAATATGGACGTTAAAATTTTTCCATAATCGTAAGGAAGGCCTTCATGTTTATCAGTATCTAATTAGTTTGAGATGGAAATAAAAATATAACTAATTCATGTAAACACTTTTCAATTGCATGTGTCTAGATTTAGTCCATTAACGTGCATGAACGTGTTGGGATACTAAACATCAGATTGAGCTGTTGTCGTAAATAAGGATTTTAGTTGGGTTAAGTTTTATTTTGTTCGGCGTCCTAAAGACGGCTTAGGTCACTTAAGGACATTCTAAGTAGAATGAAGCAGTAAAAACGATATAATCACTGCAAAACGTAATCGCCAGGACAAAATCCTATTTAAATGGAACTGGAAAAAAATCTAAATCTGATGAAAAACCTCACTAAATATCGTAAATATTTACTGCAGGTAAAAAGTGTGTTAATATAAAAGGACGGGTAACATGGCAGTGTACATGCATGGAGGAGAAATCACGTGACTCGATCATCAATATCGTAATCAGCCGAAATCCCAGGTGAGTAGACACAAATTGACCGTTTGATATACAAATATCATCATCATTACCTTGCTTTCAGAGGTGTCAATCTGATTAAAATCATATGTATCATGGCTTCGTTAACTTCGTACTACGCCTGAACATCTGAGTGTGCCGCGGTCAGGGTCACGTTCAGGTGACCTATATTTTTATAAATAATCATTAATTTTTGACCAATCAGAGACCCTCTTTCAAAAGGGCGCTCGGAGTTGTAACAAATATGGCGGACATTGATGAAAATGATGCGAAAGTTCTGAAGTTATTTGAGATTGATCGTCTGAAACCCGAACAGAAAGAGATATTCGAAGCTTTATTAGAGAAGAAAGACTGTATGGCGGTGTTGCCTACACAATTATTACCCAATGGGTACGCCGCTTTCCTTGGCGTCGTAGAAACGTCAGTTGCCGCCACCATATTTGTTTTGGAAAACTAATCTGTTCGATACCCCTCGCTATTTATCTATCAATCATGATATTCCGATTCGCTGGCAAACTTTTGCCAGCGCGCCTCTGATTGGTACATCTAAAGGTCACATGAACGTGACCCGGACCGCGGCACATTCAGATGTTCAGGCGGAGCCATGTAGCAGATGATTTTAATCAGATTGTCAGAGGTGTGTGCCAATATATCGTTTGTTTGATTTTGTTTCTCTGTGTCCGTGTTGTCATTCTGTATCAAGCCTGTCATGATTAATAAAACGTGTTTTCCCGGATCATTCTCCTGTATATGAGGAAGTCATACGTTCCGACGAGGTTGTGTTTTACATATGTAGTGTAGACGCTTTATTCTGTGAAAGAGTTCAATTTCCTAAATGATGTTGACAATTTATGTCACGGAAATGTTTTAGATAAAACATCTTCCTCTCTTGTACATTGAAATATCTATCAGGAATCTGTTTCAAATCACTACATATGACCTTTAAATAGCCAATAGTGTGAATGCATACAAGTTGGGAAAAGTGTCATATTTAAAACATTATTCAACATATTCTTATTTTCGATTCTAGTGAGGAAATAACATCCGACCCTTATGTCCATAAAGTAGTAGCTAGTCTGGATGATGCTCTCTTATATGTGAGAACTACACTACTCGACCAAGTGGAAACTGTATGGGTGATGGGAGGACAACAAATATATACGGTAAGAAACACTCTGCTGGTATTTTTCACGTAACATATAGTGCAGTATTTTTTTACAAATCTATCGAACCTGCCAAATTTCTCACGAAATCATTTGGTATCGTTTCATTTCCCACCGGTTCACGGTGGGTGACTATATGTTTGCACTCTGTCTGTCTTTCCGTCCGGGACATATCTTCTATACTATTTCATCTGGAGTAACCAGATGTGTGGTTTACAGCGCCATCTTGTGATGGCGGAGGGCAGAGTGCAAAAAGAAGGTCATTATGACCTCACTGTGACCTATGCTTCGACCTTTACTTGTGATCATGTTTGTCCGGGGGAAATCTTCTGTACTATTTTCCCTGGAGTAACCAGATTTGATGTACAAGGACATCTTAGGATGGCGGAGTGCAGAGTGCAAGAAGTAGGTCACTGTGACGTATGACTTGACCTTTGACCTTTACTTTTGAAAAAGTTTGTCCGGGGCAAATCTTCTATGGTATTTCACCTGGAGTAGCTAGATGAGGTGACAATGACATCTTTGGATGGCGGAGTGCAAGTAGTAGGTCACCATTACCTCACTGTGACATATGCTTTCTGACATAAGTGTACTGTTTGTTCAATATAGAAATCATTACCAGTGAGGGACTATGTATTTCCCTGCAATACTTTGCATTGTTTTCAATAGAATATGGATTTCTTTGACCCGACTTACTATATGAAAGGCGGACAATTTTCGCAGGCTGTTTTTAACGAAAAATCGACCTTAATTAAAATTGAAGCGGTGACTTTTACGCTTCCATGTGTCAATGAAAAAATACAGAGTCCTTATTGCTATACCTGATGCTCGTATTCAATAGCAATGGAACATAGTTTTTTGTTTTGCTTTCTTCATGCTGTTGACTGAAACTCTCAATAAATATTACAAATAATTTAAAGCATGATACATTTTAAGCTTTTATTTTTTATCCAGACGTAGTATGTTTGTACGTTCATATTTCGTCACTAACATATATCCGATATTTGCTACATATTCATTATCTTGTAGGACGCAATCGACCACCCGCAATGTAATCACATCTACCTTACACATATTTACGGGGAGTACCAGGCAGACACGTTCTTCCCAACATTCGAAGACCGATTTCATGAAGACAAGTAAGTAGACGAATTCTTATCAGAACCAGCATGTTTCTGTCTGCGACATTTGGTTAGAGGATATTCATGGCAAAACACAGCTTTCCTTGTTACTGAAACACCGGGGACCTCAATCATTACATTTACCGTTTACTTACCATTGCTAGGCAATGTTTCCCTCCGCACATTATCTTTCGGTCACTTGAGTCACGCACTCAATTTGTGTTTTAGTAGCTCGTCGTCCTCGTTTAACAATTTATATTTTCCACTTCGTTACAGGAGCAATCAAATGAAGTACCATGATATTTAGGCTGCAGCTAACCGGTATTGGGCGTTGTCAAATTTAATGAAAAAATCACCTTGACCATCACTACAAGTCACAGGGGTTAAATCTGTTTAAATATATGTTCTCGACTTCTTCTCGAGAACAATAAAGCCAATTGTTATGGTGTTGATTATTTTGTTCTTTTATACTCGAGTGATCGTTACAGCACACACACGCATCTTGTTTTATTATCGTATCTGGCAGATGGCGAGGAAAATGTTGTGAACTTAATTGATGTTTTTACACAAAAATATTCCAAAGGAGAAGAGCAGAACTTCTCCAGAGTTTTTCACATTTCACGGTTGTAATTATACATCAGACAAAAAACCACCCGATTCTGCAGGGGCGCGTTGGTCGCCTCTAACGATCATGCAATTGGATACCACAGGTCTATTCTTTCCCCGAACCTGCACGGGTGTTCTAGTGGTTGATTTAAATGTATACCTAAAACAATTTAGATTAAACTTATATTGATAAATCGACCTGTCATCTTGGTTGTATTCAGCTGAATTGTATCTATTTTGAGGGAACATATTAAATGTTTAAAGAATTCTAAAATGTGATTTTTGTTTACTTTTCAGGTCCATAGCCTTAGATAGAACATTACATGAAGAGCGAGGTGTTACGTATAAATACAAGGTGTATAGTCCGCGACATCAAGCGAGCTGTTAAAAATAGGACGTTTGTGACTGGCGGATCTCGACTGAGTGTTCACTGGGCCGACTGAAAAACATATATCGGTCATAATTCATTGATATAGCTATGTCATTCACCCATTAACGAGTGAGTTAAGTCATGGTGAAGAAATATGAAAATATGACACGATTTTACATTTGTCGTCAAAGTTTCATGATGCAATTGATGGTCGTTGTTTATTAGCATCGATTGTTTATACTGCCAGCACTGAAATGGATATCTCGGATGTAATAAATACCTGTTACTATTTCTACATATATTCAGGACTTTTCAGTTGAATTTGACATACTGTATCTATTACTAATTATTATTATTACATGCTTTTCGACCCATCAACACAGGAGAGATCATTTATAGCCAACAAATGGTCGATAAAAACAAATGTAAATGAAAATGAAATAAATTAACGTAAAGGTAAAAAAATAAACGTCAATATTAAAAGAAGTGTTGGTGACTCATAACATTTGGAACAAACCAACAGCTTCGGCTGCTTCCAGGTAGTTTAAATTTGTAGACAAAGATTAAAAGTGCAATCACATTAGTATTATGTTCATATTTTCTTAAGTTATTGCAAAACACTGTTTGGTTTCATTGTAATATTAACCTTATCCTTGTAGAATAAAGATGAAACATTAACTGCATTGTTACACTGGTTCAACATGAAAGTAGTAAACTACTTGTCACAATTTCTACATATATGCAGAGATTCTCAATTAAATTTCCACGACTTACCTCAAACGTTTGTTTTAAAGTGTAATGTAATCGTGTGAATGAAAAAAAAAACATGGGGCATGAACTTCGATACTACATGATGGAACAGGTTTAAACTGTTGGTCGAATCATTTTTTAACTATTTCTGTACATATTCTTTATTTAATTTTTATTATTTTCATACGTTACTTCAAATTTGCTTTTTCTTCTTATGAAAACCATATTTACTCTAATAAGGTTCGATAAAAGAGGTTTATAATGCAAGTCGTACTACTAGTTCTCAGAGGTAAAAACTCACGTATTCGGCTAACAACACAACAACGTAATTCCAAGCACATTGTATAGAAAACAATTTATTTCAACGAGCATAGACATGCGCACGCGCTCTCTCTCCTCCTCTCTCTTATAAACTAAACAAAACCAACAACAGATGCATTCATCAGAGACATGCTACGTCATTTTATACTTTACTGCCTTCAGAAAGATGTGTACTAACACAATACTAACACAAGGTTAGATAATAATAGAATATATATACATATAAATATAAACAATTCTCTGTACATTCGAATTCAAACCGTAATCATACAAACTATCTATATGAACACATCAATGCATATAAGTACATGTATATGAATTGCATCGCTGGATTGTTTAAGTGAACACTTTTTACCAAAGGATCGTGATTGCGAACGACTTGTTGGACCCTTCACGATCAACATTAAAAAAGGGACAATAAACCCCCTTAATGATGACAAGCTAACCTTAATTTCAACCCCCTACTAAGTAATAGTTTTACACTCCAATGAAACATAGGAATTAAGATATATTCAGCTGTACTTTTGTTATTAAAATGGCATTTAGCGACAACAACTGTATCAATAATGAGGCATTAATGCTGGTGTTTTCATAAAAAGAGTTTCTAATGTCAGCATCTTTTGCGACCATACTGAATGCTACGAAACGACATAATAAAGTTCATTTAAAATGTAGATACCTAGGTAAAGCAGGGCTTTATTTCTCTTGTACATGCCGAGTAGAAGTATACCGGGCACGAATCAAGATTACAATATGGCCATGTATGACCACTAATGCCATAATAAACACCCTTTTTTATATTTAACAGATTCTGAAAAAGAAAACGAAGACTAAGTGACTTATATTCCATAAAGTTATGAAATGACAAGTTTATTTAAAAAGTATTATCAATGAGCTAGACATTGTAAATGAAAAGAGCGTAATGTATATAACATTTTTAGATTTAAAGTAAACAGTGCTCAATATTAAGAAAATATATCTAATCTAAAGTTAATTTATTCATCATAGGACACACGGCCATTGGTTCTGCAGACCTAGGTATATAAATGGACTTTAATATGACATTACGTGGTTAAAGATTTAATAACTAATGTTAAAGTGGAATATCTAAAAATCACTTATCAGGGAGTCGCAATCTCGGGTGATTATACATTCTTTAAAGGGGCTTATTGAATCTTAAACTATTTTTCAGATTTAGGATTGAAAATGTCAACAATATGAGATAACCCTGATTTGGATAGAGCATTCTTCATTAATGTTGGTGAGATTTTCTTTGACTGCAAGATATCCAATAGTTCCCTGTTGACATCATCTGAGGATTGATGACGTTCCATTTTTCTGACTTTTTGCTGCTCACTGGAGCTCAGAATTTCATTTTCGTACAGATGATCACATAACGGAAATGCCTGTAAATTCTGGACGAGGAAGACATAATTTTGTCTTATGCTATTTTGAACATTTGGAACTTCTGTTGATGCTAAAGTCTCTGATGTTTCGCTCGTGGTGGAGACAGACGATGAATGCAAACGAAGGCATGGTGCACTAGATACACGTTTAAAGGGAGGTTGCGATGCATTGTCAATCCTATCCTTTGTTCCCGTGGACAAATATGTCTCCGGCAGTGATCGTTTCCGCTTTTGTACACTAGTGGCCCCTGTTCTTGCCTTGACCCAGTCTTTTACAATATCCGACTTACCACTCGAAGGTAAATTGATGCAATCTGAAGGGCGCAGTTCCTCAAATTTGGCAGTGCCGGACGGCTCGTCTTGGAAAACAGAAGAGGACAGCATACAGCTTGATTCCATTTCAGAGCCAGTAGCTATGACAAAAGACGATTCGTCACTTGTAACACTAGATGCGTCATTGCTACTGCCTTCAATATCCTGATCAGGAGGGGATTCACAAGCCTCCACTATTTCAATGCTGACGTGGCATAGTTTAAAAAGCAGCGTCAGTTTATCATTCGAGTTAGTCCTTAATTTCGCCACAGTAGACCCTTCAGAGTTATGCTTGAATGTCGCAATCCCACTTGCAAACACACTGATTTCTAACATTCCCTCGCACATTTTCGTTTTCCTCGGATTATACTCGAATTTTTTCAGGTATGTCAATCCTTCAAATCCTGCGTCAGACAAGGGTTCAACAATGGCAAATAAACTGCTGTTTAGACAGCTCGGAGATAAGATGCTGGTGTAAACAGAAAACGAGTATGGTATAAGCTCTTCGGAAGCTGCTCTTATTCTTATTTTCATTCGGATTCCGTTGGCTGCGGTAGGATGTAACTGTACGCAGGCAAATGCTGCTGGGTTGTCGTCAACAAGCGTACACTTGTGTCTAGTGATGACATCTTCAAACTGGATATTCATTCCGCATTTGTTATGCCATTTAATAGCACTTCTATCTTTGTCATCTGCAAAAAACAAAACAGATACCGGTGATTGTATTGAACACCCTGTTTACCCGTACTTTCCTACAATATAAATCATCATTCGCATTATATAAAAAGGTCGCCATCTTTTTAAGTGAATTAGACAGGGCTAAGAACAAAGCTTGCAGAAATAAAATGCCCTCAGGGATGTTTGATCAGAATTGTAAATTTCATTACCCTCGGATTTAACCATTCCCCCTTGTGAGGGGTAAAGTAAACTATAGGTTAAAACAGGGAAATAACACTTTTGCATATTTAGGGCCCCGTATCGGAGATACGGGTGCCCTATAGTAATCACTCTGTCTGTCTGTCTGTCTGTCTGTCCGTCCACAAATTTTGTTCCTGGCAGATAACTTTGGTATTTATTGACCGATGTACATGAAACTTGATCAATAAGTTCAGTTCATAAAAATACACACTGAGGTAAAAAGTCAAGGTCAAAGGTCAAGGTCATTAGGTTCAAAGGTCAAGGTCAAATTTTGTAGCTTTTCACTAGTGAACATTTCGCTATGACAGGATGTAGCAAAGTTGATCAGAATTAAACAAGGAGTCAATTGACCAAAGGTCAAGGTCACTTGGTCAAAGGTCAAGGTTACATTTTGTAACTTTTCCCTGATGAACATTTTGTTATGATATTAAGAAGCAAAGTTGGTCGGGATTAAAGAATAAGTCAACTGACCAAAGATCAGGGTCACTGGGTTAATGGGCCAGGTCATTTGGGTCCAAAGGTCAAAGACAAAGTGGATCTCTGACTTTGACCCTGGCTCTTGATGGATGAGGCATATAAGGTGAAATAAAACAAATCAAAGCTGACAAATGAGTATTGCGCCGGTAATTACATTTCTGTTAGCCCAGCAAATATGGAGGTGGAAGGAAACACATCACATCATAGTACATGTAAAATGTATATTTTACTTCCTTGCGATTCTTTTTGAAGTCCAAATGTCAAACGTGAAGTTCAGGTATATGGGCAGATTGCTTCTTGATGATTATTGGGGATATAATTGCCACAAGACGGGGCCCTTACTGACCTGTCAGTGTTCTAGTTTTGTTTAGTATCAGTAGGAACTTTTCCAAATTTTGTTGGAATTATCATCACGTGATTGCAGTTTGATGATATCAATACTTAGTACCTGACTCCCCTCTAGTGCCCGACCTTAAGGGTCAGTTCAGCTTAAACCTCAACTTATTTCAACAATCTTCTAGACAAATTATGAACAAATACAGTATATATATAAAGTGTTACATGTATATTCAAATTTGAATTTCATAATTCCCCGGAATTCCCTTTCCCTCTGGGGGAGTGATAATATCTAGTATAGTTTATACAGGAAAAAAACAGTTTATGGATATTTTGTTAATACTCAATGGGAAATAATTCAAGGTTAGTAGGAATCATTATCATACGATTGCAGTTTGGTGATATAAACAGTTATACCTTGTCTTTACCTAATGTCCTTAGGAACGATACATAAACTATTTAAATTAGCTTAAAATACAACGACCCTGTTCTTAAGTCAGATATTCAAGAACGAAACAATCTTCATGGACAAATTCATGAATTTGTTACTGAATGGTTCATATTCCCCTTCCAGAGAGGTTAAGGTTTACCCTATTACTGTCAATATTATCTTTTGATTTATATATATATTATTCTTATTCGAATTTGCATAGCTAGAATACCCCCGTGCATCGAAAAGTTCTTGGTTAGTTTCTTCGGATTACTGTAACTGTCAATACTGCAATACCATGATTTCATTGAAAATTATTTCAACTGTTTAATGAAATTCACAACTTTTGATAAATTACTATGGGAAGGGAAAATTGTAACTTAATTCTATCATATATTTGTTTGAAAAGAAGATTGCTGAAATTTTAAATCCCATTTTTGGCTTGGCCCCTCAGGCCCTAGAGTGTGAGTTTTAATTATCTTACCATCAAGACGCAATCACATGCGATGCCTTGACCACATGATGCTCCAGATCGACTTAACGACAATTCGGCCATTCCGCCTCTTTGATTAAAAACGTTTAAGCTAACAGTTGACTGACGAATAACGGATGCCAGGCACATATCACAACTTTACGTGGCCCATAGAGCCTCTGAGTTTAAAACAAGATAATGTGAACAGATAGACGACAGAAAATTTGATATGGTGTATTGGATAATAAAATACAGCTTACATAGTTTCAGGTTGCATTTCCCAAATTGCAAATAAACAGCAATCCATACAGGTAGGTCACCACATATAGTGTGTGTAGTTTGAAGGTTCCCGTACTTGTAGATAATGGAATGTTGTTTCCGCTGTAATCTAACTTTGAATGTGTCTTTATTGATACCTACATTTCCAACAAATGATACTTGTTTCTTTTTAATGGCGTTTCTCAAGTCTGAAATTTCTTCTGGGTTTATCTGGGTAAAACCAATATCAGCGTGTGTTGACCCCTGCATTGTCAATTTTACAACGTCGCCGTCCTCCAGCCGAACATCACTGAACACAAGTCCTCCGGAGTAAGAATGCTTCCATGACACAGACTTTCCTCGACATGTCCTCAAAACGTTTTCTCCGTGAATTTCATCAAAGACCAAAAGAATCGACGTCATACTGTGTCTGTTCTGATTACTCGTCTCCTTCCGTCATGAAACATCTGCAACGTTATTTTTAGAACATGTATTCACCCTTATGCATATTCAGTTAAAGTAATTATTTAAGAAATACAAAGTGGGTAATGATCCACATCTCATCTATGAAAGACAAGAGGCCCATGGGCCTTAACGGTCACCCGAGTCCTACAGTAGTTTGCTGTTGTTGATGAAATGATGATGTGAAATGAGAATAGTTCATTATTTGTCATACAAAAACTGTATTTCACCAGTGCGAGGTCCATCAGTCAATTATCACTACCAAGTTTGAGTAAAATAGAGTGTGACAATTTTCTATGAATAGTAACGGTGACCTTGACATAGGAAATATTGTTTTCAAAATGGCATCCGTGGCGGCCATAAGTCGATAATTCATACAACGTTCCAGTTAAATCAGCTCATTAGAACGTTATTTTAAGTTTGAAATAGTTTTCTAAAATTGTGGCCGTGGCGGCCATATTGGATTTCTAATTGACCCGAAAACAAAAAACATCTGGTGAGGACAATATTATTAAGCCGATCATTCCTACCAAGTTGCAGTTAAATCCGCCAATTAGAACATACCTTTAAAAAGTTTCAATGTTTTTTTCTTCAATCTTTGATTTCTGATCGACCCGAAAATTAAATCGGCCTATCAGAACCTGACTTCAATATTGATATAGTGTTTTTTTCAAAATGGCGGTATTGGCGGCCAAATTGGATTTCTGAGCGATCCGAAAAATAACAACACTTGGCCAGGGAGATGTCAGTAACATTCCCAGGAAATATCAATGAAATCCCTGATACGGTATTTCAGCTTAAGTTGAAAATTTAAAATGTTAACGGACGACGGACGAAGACGGATAGCAATAGGTCATTTTTGCGCGGGAACAAAGTGTTGTACAAAGGCAAAATCTATGATAGAAATCCTGAATTATTTTTCAAATAATAAATTTCGGAAGTTGTTTCAGTGATATGTTAACTAGAGGCCACTGTAACCTGTATTGCTCATCTGATAATAATCTCACACAAGTAACCTTTCAAATTGACCAAAGTCCTATATATTGACATGGACTTAAATAAAACATTCTGCTCACAGATATAGAGGTTCCCCAACGAGCGATGGTTGGTTATCATGTTTATCTAACTCGAGTTAGTTACTTTTGAAATTGTATACAAATGTAAAGACACGAGGTTTACTAAGTGTCGTTTACATTTGAAAATTAATTAACGAGAGTTGGATAAACATGATTATCATCCATCACGAGTTTTGGGGCCTTTTTCTCCCACAACGTTCAAATATTATATACTACTCACATTTTGCTAAGGATCACCTATATTTTGAAAAAAAAATCAAAATATTAGAAAGGAAATTATATTTTCCTTCCGGACTGTTTTAGGCGAAGATGTTAGACTTCCAAATCGTCCTGTGTGTTCAGTCAACCATAAAAGCGCGTGCACGATTTTCCTAGTGTACACCCCTTTCAAAAGCTAAGCTAGGCTAAGTAAGGCGTTGTTTAAATTGTTACTGAAATCGATTTGATGAATATTTTTGCGTGTTTTTGTTTTGATATGGCACATACAACTATTAAATGACGGTGAAATGAATGGGGGCATCGGAATGCTGCAAGCTAGCAAGTCTAAACGTCAGGTTGCAGCAGACCTGTGGGTGTTTGAAGTGTGGTGGCAAGAATGTGGAATCGTTTCCAGACTAACGGAAACTCTTCCAGACGTCATGCTGTAGGTCGTTCTAGGGCTACAACGCAGCGCCAAGACCGATTTTTACTCATACAGTCACGGCGTCACAGGTTCCAGACTGCCACAGCTTTCCAAAATGACCTCCTAAATACTTCTGGTGCCCGAGTAGCCACTCAGACAGTTAGGAACTGTCTTCATGGTGCTGGTTTAAGTTCACATAGACCAGCAATACGAGTTCCCTTAACTGCCCGCCATGTTAGGGACCGATTAGATTGGGCCCAAGCTCACAGCACTTGGACTGGAATGGGAACCGGTTCGTTTTACTGACGAGTCCAGATTCTGTCTCGACTTCACCGACAGGCGCGTTAGAGTATGGATACAATCTGGGGAGAGGTTCCCGGCAGGTAACGTTCACTGTGACGTTAACTCCAGTGCGCTACAATGTTTACCAAAGTTTGAAAGACTGAAAAAAATATATTTCAATAACTGTTTATAATGAAATGGGTTCCTTTCGGATATGAAAATTGAAAGAGAAAGGAAATAATCATTTAACTGAATATTATATAAATATCACATTCATGAGAGGGCGATATTGCATATTTTCACCCCAAGGAAGCATTGTTGACCGAGGCGAAGCCTCGGTCAACAATGCTTCCTTGGGGTGAAAATATGCAATATCGCCCTCTCATGCATGTGATTTTTATTTTATTATACCAAGTGTCATGTTTAGGTGTTTCACCACTTCACCATTTTTAAAGGTCCTTGTGTTGATTTGACATAAACCAAGACTTCATCTCAACAGTTGTCGAATGAGCCAACCATGAAAGTGATTTGATAACACCCTGGCACTGGGACGAACCGTGCACGCATACATTTGACGCATGTAACAATTTTTGGAATAACACCCTGGCACTGGGACGAACCGTGCACGCATACGTTTGGCGCATGTGATATTTTTTGGAATAACACCCTGTCTTTTTTATCTTTGTAAAACGAGCAAGTAACATTGAAAATGTTTACATCTTTCTCAACCAATCAGATAACGAGATTTTAACAGAAGGTATAATAATTCATAATATCGAATCAACGATACACATATTTTTTGTTTTCTGATTACTTAAAATTTCAACTGAACATATACACGTACAAAGATAATTTGTAGACTATATCTCTGGCGATTATAGAAAGTATATAGATAGCTGTACTATTTCAGAGGAAAAGGTTTAAAAGTACACTTTATCATAGTTAATTTCACATCACATTTCATATCAATGTTGTAGTGTCAGGATGGGGGATCAGTATCTGTTATGTGTTTAGTTTACCTATAATTTTATACTTTTTATGAAAAGTTCCTGTATAACACGACATCAATAGAATAATTCGCTTCTCTATTTTATACAAACAAGTAAAAAAAATCCAGAAAAATCTTATAAACTATATATATAAAAGGTAAAGATAAATTTAGAAACAACTATGAGTTAGTCTGATTTTGATTTCTTTGTAATATATGTATACACATAAGGTACATGTACATGCTGATGATTGAATAAGAAAATACATCCCCCAACCACCAACCCCTCCCCTGGGTCTACAGTGAGTGTTTCCCACACCAACGTAGCAGGTACACAGCTTGCCTGGTGGTACAGTAATGAATTGCCTCTTGTTAAACTGACGACAAAATTCATGGTTGCAGGGTGCAAGCACCTGTAGGTAAAGGTATATATACATGTTCAATGATACATGAAATAAGTTGATAGATTTACTAATAAAAAATCAAATCAATTAAGTTTCACAGGGAATCTCAAATTTAAATCATACCGGTACAACTTTACTTCAGTGGCAGATTTAAAGATGGTTGGTAGGGCAATGTAACCACCCCCTGACACATATTTTCTTTTCAATATGATATCTACCCGAGAATAGATAGGCAATGACCACCCACTGACCATTCACCTGTGGTCACATGGGATTCTGATGGGCTGTACCTAATCTAAAACACCTTGTGTGAAGGCAATTAATCCTTTCAATTAATATAGCCCATTGTCTGTCCAGAAGATATAGGATAAAACAGTACACGGTTACATGCAAGATACTGTGGCTGTCCCTGTCAGGGAATGACAGCCTCGGGCACAATTCTATTTCAAAGCAGTGACTTTGACCATAGTAGTGTTTCACACTACGTACCTAATCTCTCAAATGGTTTACAAACTGGGTGTTACATAATTATATCGGAGCAGTATGTAGTTAATTTTCCTTTTTTTAACAGAATTACATATTTACGTCACTACTCTTTGGAAAGGTGATCTGACAATACCATTATGTGTTTACAATTTCTTTTATTTCTTTTAGACATTTAAGTTTATTTTTATACTTTATTTTCATAGTGGACATGTAGTTAAATATATAATTCCGTACTACAAAACTACACACTTCCTAGAATCAATATTATTTGTTTAAGAAAGTCATAGTTTTACTTGATAAATAAAAATGGGATAATTGAAAAAAATATGACATCCCCCTGAAAATACATATCATTGGTGCATGGGGATGTTTTTAGGGCCAGGAGTGAGAGATAGAATACGGTGCTTTGTCTCCAGCAACAAAGATAACCTGTTGTGTTGTCTCCCTCCACCCCGCCCCAACCCCACCCCCTTACCTTCTAATCAGATTTTGCACATGGGTTCTGATCAGGAGGTAAATGTAATTTTACATGACATTATACCCTTAACAATTTGTAATACACACACCATCAGGGCATTTCAACCCCAGTTTCTCCTGTGCTAGCTACGGGGTTCAAACAGGTTAAATTTACCTGTAGAAAAGTCAATTTGGTTACCTACATATTTAGTTGTTACTAAATAACTGTTTTGTTGGAATTAAGATCTGCATTCCTGTAACTACAGTACATTGTTACCCATCATTAATGAGACCATACATATACTTATAGTATTTGTTTCTTATTCATAGTACATGTAGTTACCTACATTAGGTTTCCATTTTTTCCCAGAAAAAGAATCACTATCATGTACTTATAGTTATAATATGATAGATTTGAATATTTAATGTAGACGTAATACTTATATACTGTTGTTACTATAAATGAACTTCAATGGTGATTATGTCTTTAAGACAAAGTATTATAAACTTTAAACCACCAATACATGTATATTATGTAATAGGTCATCATGCTCTATAGTTATTATGCTATTTTATAAAATGATACTGCTAAGATCCTTTTAAGTATATGAATATGTAACATCTAATATTTTATTGATTTATTGATTTATTGAGCAGACAGTAGGGGAGAAAATCATAGTATGTATAAACTGATGAAAAGGCCAGATAACGAAAATTTCTTGGTGAACTGAAGTTAACTCCAGTGCACATTGATGTGAACTACAGTTCACTTAAAAGTTAACTCCAGTGCACAAGCTAGTGAACTGGAGTTCACTATTCTTGTTAACTCCAGTGCACTTGGCTACCAAGTTAAGTTTGCTCCCAACTGTATTTTCACATATGCCCAAAAATAAAAGTGATCCTTAGCAAAATGTGAGTAGTATATATATAAACCTAAAGTGGTTGTGGGAGAAGTATATGAGGTTTTGTTTGGTGTGTCAGCACAAGTTGGAATAGTGTGCCTTCGTCCTTGTTATCATAAGCAAGCAAAGACACAACATACCATATCACGTTTTTGATCACAGGGTATGGTCAGCTCGACAGAAAAAGCCTGGTTATTTTCATATTTCTCCTGGTTATCATTTTGCTTACAACGCTTATACAAAATACTGGTATTATAATACCGCTTATACAAATGTCAGACCAATTTTAGGACCTCTGTCTAACCGCAGGTAAAACAGTAGATAACTGTACTGTGGTTTTCTTATCGTGGCTTACCACTGAGTGTTCCATTATTGAGGTTTTCTTTATTTCATCTTTATTTGTATTTCTTCATTGAAGACCCACACTATACACTTTTCTGTCCAGAAACGATTTATCAAAGCAATAATCATGCTGGAAAACTAAATTTCAAACGTATCGTCACTCCTTTTTGGAACAAGGATCCTTAACACAACTGAGACCTATTTTACAAATGCTTAACAACCTAAATACACACTGGATACCGTCGTGACACCCCACAGTCACGTCAATGTCACAGTATACAACATGATAGAAAATGGGTACATAATACGGGTGTCAGGAGAGATACGGAAGCATGAAAGCTGAAGAAAAAAGATAGGAACAAACAATGATCCGTATCAGTATCAGTTGATTTATTTTTGACCTATATTTATATCATCTTAGCTGACGATACAGTTCAAAACCTCCGGTTTCACTTGGGAACAACGATCATGCAATCTTACCCTACGGTTAAGTTACACCGAAAAATTATATGTATTAAAGAGAATGAGACGAAAATAACGATACAAATGTGTGTATTTAGCAGCACCATGTAAGTCATGCGTCCACTCAGGCGTCTCCTCAATCTATACGTAACATTCACAGTGAGGAATTTCAATTGCGTGCTGGCTAAGAACGACTACACACACTTATGTAACTTACCGATTTCACAATAGCATTTCCCAATGACACAAACATCATTGAATACGTCTCTCCATTACGCAACAGGTGACACCTTTGAATTGGACGCCATTTTAATTATTTTACAAACGTAAACTTCGTATTGTAGTAAAAGTTCTATATTCAGTGTGTTATATTCTTCGCATCATATACTTTTAATTTATTATATTCAAATACAAACAACCATTTTTGTGATGATAAATCTAAATGAAAATAAAACATTTCGATTTTACGACAATCTATATTTACCTGGTAACACACTATTGGTTTGCAATATCGAACGAACCTGTTACTTGGAAATTACAGGGACCGTACCGTTCTAAATATTGTTTCTTTTTGACAATGATTTATTAAGGATCCCTGTCCCGATGTTGACTGGATAATTGCACTGTCTCGTTTTACCTGTAGAGCAACCAGGATACTATCATTGCCCAGGTACCTTAGTTGGTTAAATCGGCAGGATCCCGGGCTCGAACCCAGAACACTGCCTGATTGTTCTTTGTCAGAAGAGATATTTTCAATGCATAATGCAGAGTTACAAATTTTGTCAGTTGTACTGGGATCCTTTCTATCAACTTTCTTGATATGTGTCGTCTATATGTAGGAGTTTGGTTTGGTTTAATAGGGTTTACCATCCTATCAACAGCTAAGGTCATTTAAGGACGTGCATCCACGTGTGCTGTGTGTGCGTGTATGTGCTGTATTTAAGAGTTATATGTGTTCTAAATGAATTTGTAGCCACAAATATAAATAAAACATGTATCAATCACAGTCCTCTTTATGTCGAGTGTCCAATTTAATAGAGATAAGACAACAACTTATTTGGGCTGAAAGAAATGTATGACGACACAGCAATAATACGTAGTGTTGGTGAAAGTGACTATATAACTTTCTGTTAGGAGATTTATTTTAATCATCACACTATTGGGCTTTTTTTATAGAGTTTAGCGTCCTATTAACAGCTAAGATGCCACCTCATTTATTTACCATGCAGAAGTCACCCAGTAAAGTACTCCAACTGGTCACATTTACTTGTCACATTATGTCGACAACGGGTAAAATCGGTAGTTGAGCTTACCCTGAATGTTAAACGTTTTGAAATAACTTTTGTCATGAAATGAATGATATTAAACAAACCCCAACATAATTCAGTACAATCGGCAGGAATATAAAAGAAAGTCATCTTTACTTCGATGCAATCCAACACGAGATAATGTTTACAAATACTATATATAATATATGCTCTTTTTCCCTTAAATTATGTAAATGAAACTTATCGGATCGTGTGCGTGTGTATTTCAAACAGGTCACATTCCAATCTGCTGTGGTTTATACTATGTATATCTACATGCACATGTATACACATACGGTACAGGTTTTTTTATTTGTTATATTTTCCAAAATATTATGACATAAACATATATATATACATACAATGTACATGGGCGTCTAGAATCGCCTTTAAATAATGTACATACTGTTCAAAATTTTCGATCAAGTATCAGTATTCGTCATACATATATATTTACAAATGAGTATACATTCACATTTTTTATAGAAAATAAACATCCGGATATTCTTGTCCCTACTCTATTCTTATTATGATAATCTAGTTCTGATTTTCGGTTAGTGTCACGATGGTGAACAGACTTCGCACAAACGTTATTATATGGTAAATATTTGTAAAAAATATTTTTTCGTATGGTATACCATTATCCAATTCAGCGAATTAAAGTGTCATGTTAAGCGTTATAGTGTTGTGTAAAGAGTATGTGTTAAGAATAGTCAGATGAAATCTATTAAAAACAAAAATCCTTTTCGAAACCCCCACCCCCCACCCACCCATACGGTACAGTTTAAATGGAGCCAGGGGACAAGTGCTTTCAAGTTAAATATACTGCTGGTCACGTCAGCTGTGTGTGTCTGTGGTTTAACAGACGATTGGGCTCGTGTATTTAAAACAGCTTATTGTTCAGTCGTACAAATAATTATTAGTTAGTTTGTTGATAAATAAAACCAGAACAAATATTCAATTATATATTGAATTTACATCATTACTGCCTCCTCTCAATGATCCGCTCCTAGATCAAAGATAAACGTAACACGTACACAGGTGATTGAACTTTTAAAATTTGGTAAAAGATACAGTATGCCAGAAAAGAATTACAATGCATCATACAGTTGTTTCGTTCTTCCAGGACACATCAGTGATAATAGGGGCCGAACAATTGGATACTTACTGTAGAAACATGATCCCGTATATGGAATAAATTTCCTTTTCATTACTCGTTCTGGTAAACGTCATTTTTCCTTTCCAGTGACATTGAATACATTTCCTTTTCATTATTCGTTCTGGTAAACGTCATTTTCCCTTTCCAGTGAAAGTTTTGTCGTTATTTTAACAGACCTTTATGTATATAAATATGTAGAACAAACGTCGTTCAGATAAGCTTCCTGAACCGCCTTGTTGATTTGGATTATTAAACACCTTATATGGGTAACTGCGCATGTGCCATTATTTGGGGTTTTCCATACATATCAGTGACCAGTGCCATTATTGAGTTGTTATTATCCGATTATTAACAAGAAAACGGTAAATAGTAAGTATTAATTGATATTGCATTATAATATCTGTTTATTATGTATTAATGTATCTTATTACACAACATATTTGTTATTTTAGTTTATGTTTACGCACAATCTTTGTTTTCATGATTACTTCCTGTTACTGCCAACACCATTTACATGACATAATGATTGTTAAATCAGATCATCTGCAAGTGTATAATACATAGAAGGGTAACTATGCAAATAGATTATATACGTGAAAAGTTCTTTTGTATATGTACCCGGGCACAGTTATCAGTACCGATACTATTTCATAATGGACAAAGACGGCCATCTTTGTTGTACTATTTGTCAGGATACTCCTTCTAATTATGAATATTAATCGTATGGATGGCTACTTTTGAGGGAAAAACCATCTACATATGTATATTGATTACTGGTAAATTTATGATGAAAACAACCTGCATGTATTTTTTTCTGAAGAAAATGATGTCACATCAAATGGCAAAAGGGTTCTGGGGACCATTAGAGAAGGAAGTGTCTTGCGTTTCGCAATGCAAAGTGTAACTTTCTTAACTGAAACAGAATCGGACGTTTTATTAAAATTAGTTAAGTGACTGAAACGTATTAAACCGACAAGTCCTTTACAGTGAATTTGAAAACACAACCAATAATGTCTATACTTAGTGAATGGAATACAATGCAAATGCAAATAATAGAGACACAATAATTACTGAATAACAGTGCAAATGAAACTATTAAATTGTGCAAATGTACCATACATATATAATATACATGCACATTATGTAAACATGTATGTTTATATTTAAAATAATATACGTTTAAAAGTAGTCTAACATAATAGTAGCAAATCATATGTTAGGGTTTTATCACCTGGTCAGTTAAAGTATATTTTGTTACTCAGGAAATTGGACGTTACCTGTATTTATTAATATATATATCCCCTCGTTTGCCTTTTCCGTGCAGGCGTAATATTTTAACTTAATATGCTTAAATTTGTTAAATGCTATAATGATACTGCTGTTCAACTGTATTCACTCTTGCTTTCTGCATGTATATTGTAATGTATTTCATGAGGGCCGGCAACACATAAGGTTTTTTTACGTCATCCAAAATACCGACAGCTTAACTAGGATTTTTATTATGTTCGTACACTCACTCAAAATGACGTTAAAGACAATAACCTCAAATAATCAGTTATGAAACTGCCTTTATATTACACAGAAAGTTGAACACTTTAAAAATAAAATTTTATTCTACAATGGTTATATCCATGCTCTTAATAGATTCTAGTCTTTTTCATTATTTTTTATTTTATTTTGTAAGGATAAAGCAAACATAGTATGATTGTTTATACGGTGTTATCACTGCTATCGCTACTCGTATTATATTTCCGCAGACATTTCTTACGCACACTCGACATCGACTCACCTTTATCACCTCTGTCTGGGTATCTGTATTGAAGTCTGGTAATACTGCAGTGTATAGCTTTATGTGTATTATGTTCGGCTATAAAACCAGACACAACAACGTTAAGGTGCATTACTACAGGTGTGACGAGTAGGATTTAAGACTTTAGTGTATTTATGATAGCATATGCAGATGCATGATTGGTTTGGTTTGATAAGATAATTGTGTAATTGTCTTGAAAACTTACTACTTCATGTTTAATTAGTAATCTGGTAATTTACTGCAATGTAAGTTAAAAAACTATATCTCAAATAAGACAAACGCCTACCACAGCGTGTGTAACCACAACTAATGTTCTCTGCTAAATAAGACATGTATGACTGGTAAAATAGCAGCACTTAAAAGCAGTAGATTTGTATCAAGTGATTGACTGAGGGTTGCTTGTTTTGTTTTATTGATTAGCACAAAGCTGAGTAGATGTAGTCTTACAATTGACAACAAGTCAATATCATTTAGAAAATTAAAAAACTGTAGCATTGAATGTTTGCTAACGATTTTTTATACGTCCATTAGCACATGTATGTACTTACCAGTCACCGAAAAGTGCTTTTATACCTGTATCCACAACGCCGACCTGTGCGTATCTGATGACGGATATTCAATTTTATTGCTAAGGTTTTATGATCTAAACAAACAATAACAATGTCCATATGCAGTCTGCATTCCTGTAGTAGTAACAAACCAGTAACGTAAGACATACTCTAGTCCAGTCGCTGATATTTACTTTAATAAAGAAAAGAGAACATATCCATGGTATTGCAAATGGTGCAGCAGATTATTTTCACCAAGTGCAGGTTTGCGGAAAGTCTAGGCCTGCTGTACCCCCCGACTCTGCGAGGGTTATCTTAGCTGTATAGTTTGTTTGTTTTGGGTTTAACATCTTCGCAACTACCAAGACCATATGAGGACGGGTACATATGGAGACACCACCGGAAATAGAAAGTAGATAGAAAGAAAGGGAAGATAGGAAACGTAAAAGATCTCAGGTTTAACAAAAGGGGAAGCAGATCAATGTTAGTCTCTTCAAAGTCCCCTTCGATGAAGACACAGAAGAAAACCCCTGATTCTGATGAGGGCGTGGTTTGATTTTATCATGTTGAAGGTCCTATTAACAGCCATGGTTGAGGACGTGCCTCCGTGTGTATGTGTACTGGAGACAGGGTATGCCGGGGGCCAACATTAGGTTACGATACACACGCAGTGAGATAAAGCAGGTCTAGTATTATTTTCTTCAATGTCCTCTAAATGAAGAAAGGAAGAAACCACCCCCAATTGTGATGGGTAGATGTAAAGAGGACAAAAGATCCTACAAATGTATATATAATTAATATTCTGACAGTTTCACCACTATACCAGCTGTGTAGAAAGTTCCTTTTCACTTATTACACTTTATTTTTATTTCAGATTCCAGAATGTCTTTGTCGAAGTTCTCCTCGACAAGAAAAGGAAAGAATATTTTCATTTCTAACAAAGGCACCATTGCAACTTGGGGAAGCAAAAAGAAATGGTATATTATCAATGAGAACGCCATGTTGGATGATACGGAAATGACATTGGAAGTTAACGGGAAACTTTATACCAAAATAGTAGTTGGGTTTACAATACTGAATCCAAACAGTAAATATAGCAATAATTTTTCTCCCCGGGGGAAATTGTATGTTGGTGTGCAAAAGGCAATTGGCAGCGTTAAAATAAAGCGTTGTAACAACTTTGTGTACATGAAGTTGAATGAAGCTGTGAGGAAAAAGACACGTTGTACTGCAAAGGAAATATGGATAGTAGTGGGGCTCATCTGTGGAAATGGCCATGTAACACTATGTAAGTATTTTAAAGTATGTAATTCATTGATATATAACCCAATATAGTATAACTGTTCCAGAAGGATATTTATGTACCAGTGATGCATGTATAAAATTCGTTTCTTGTTTTACTATCTGTTTATTAGCTCTCCTGGCCCGAAGGGCCATGTGAACTTATGCCGTACTGCGGCGTCCGTCGTCCGTCCGTCAACTTTTTCTTTTGAATGACTTCAGAAGAAAAACTGGAGGACCTAGGGTCATAATATTTGGCCAGTATGTACATGGGATTGAGTGCTATGAAGTTTCCGCATTAAAATGACCTTGACCTACTTTCAAGGTCACAGGGATAAAAAAAACTTCAAACAACAATATCATAAGAACCATTTGGACTAAAGTCATGATACATGGGTATGTTATGTAGACCAGCAGTGTGAATCCTTTTCTTTATTACAGTAATAAGGTCAAAGGTCAACTTGAAGTGCTAGTCAGGGGTCAAACAACAACATGGGTTAAAAGCTTTAACAATCTTCGCAAGTTCCATAAGGCCCAGGGTCATGATACTCGGCCAGTAGCTACCTTGGATGGAATGCTATAAATTATCCTCATTAAAATAACCTTGACCTAGTTTCAAGGTCACAGGGGTCAAATATGTTAAAAACTTCAAACAACAATATCCTAAAGAGCATTAGGTCTAGAGTCATGATACCCAGGTATGTTATGTAGACCAGCTGTAAAAAGTAAAAAAAAATTCTTAATTACTGTAATGCAGTCAAATGTCAACTTTAAGTGCTAGCCAGAGTCAAAGGTCAACTTGGGTTAAAAGCTTTGAAATTAAAATTTCAAATTTCGAACAACAATATCTTAAGAACCGTTTAAGATATGTTATTATCAAATTCGGTTTGAAGTTACCTATATGTCAGTTTCATGTAACAAAAGAAACAGGTGACTCTTGTTAGTCCCCTGTCGGTTCCCTGTGGAACTACAGGTTTGAACTCCGTTCATCCTTACCTCTTTCCGTCCTTACGTCCCTCCCACCTTCTGTCCGAGAGGTTTGTCCGGGGCATATCTTCTGTTCTATTTCACATGGAGTAACCAGATATGGTGTACAAGGACATCTTGGGATGGCAGAGTGCAAGAAGCAGGTCACTATGACCTCACTGTGACCTATGCTTTGACCTAATAATTTTTGAAAACGTTTGTCTCGGGCATATCTTCTGTACTATTTTACCTGGAGTAACCAGATTTGGTGTACAAGGACATCTTGGGATGGAGGAGTGCAGAGAGAATCCTTTTTCTAGCACAGGGACAAAGGGATTTTATCTTAATTAACAGACCCGTACACGTTCGCTGTTACACTTTTAGCGTACCGTTCGCGTAGCATTTCCGTACCGTTAGCGTAACACTTGCGTATCATTTGCGTAGCATTTCCGTAGTAGTTCCGTACCATTACCGTAGCATTTCCGTAGCACTTGCGTAGCGTTTCCGTAGCACTTCCGTATCGTTTCCGCAGCACTTGCGTCTACATCTTTTCATTTAAAAAGCGTTTGTAGAATGTTCGGTCGAAATTTTTACTGAATATATATTTGTTGAAACAAATTGTTAATAAAAAAAATAATTATATACCGCATAACGTGAAAATTATTCCAACTATCATAATAGTCTGAGGAAACATACATGGACGTAACAGCCCTCCTCCCATGGTCCTACTGTGTGTTCCCAACACCAGCAGCTAAGTAGTTAATTAAATAACAGGCATACAGCTGGCCATGTGATAATGACCTGTCCCTTGTTAAAGGTACAAACAACTTTAGTGGCCGTTATAAAGGTTGTTAGGGCAACATGACCACCCGCTGACAGATACGTTTCTTTCAATATGATATCTATATACCTGAGAATATAGGCAGTGACAATGCATTGACCATTCACCTGTGGTCACATTGGATTCGGATGTGCTGTATCTGATCAAGGTCACATTCTGTGATATCAAGGCAATTATGTCCATGTCAATTAATCCAGTTCATTGTCTATCAACCACATACAGCTGAAATCCTACAGGTAAGATACTTTGGCTGTCCATCGGTCAGGAAATGACAGCTCCAGGCACAATTTCATTTCACAACAGAGCCTTTACCAAGGTAAACTAATATTCTACTTTTTGTCGTCTACTGGATAACCGAACTACTCGGTAGTGAAGTGGACGTAAAACCTATCAATCAATTAAATATTTAACTTGGAATTCCTAAGTTAATGCAAAACAAAGTATGTCCCTTATTAGGATATTCAACTTCTCGCTTAGATGATTTCTTTTAAAACTAATCTAACTTTTTTTTAAAATAATCTATCACGAGTGCACTTATCAGCGAGCAAGATTGAATAAAAACCCTAATGCGTAACAAACTTTTCAATATCATTATTGAAAATGATGATATTTTCAGTAATCATTAAAAAAATCATTGTAAAGATAAGTGTATTGTCATCATTGTCATCATGTGAAATCTTAGAAATCTGTTTTGTATCAATGAGGGTTAAAACTGTGTTCCGGAGAAAATGGAGTGTGCTTCCTTGTTGTCTATAGCTTCTGTAAAAAACACTAGGTGTGGGTAAAAATACATGTAATGACCTTGTATATTACGAATTAGGTAGACTTCCAACGTATATTGTTCGGAAAATGAAAATATTGAAATACTGGGTTAAAGTGAGAGAAACAGTCAATTGTATATTGAAAGCATGTTATGAACAGAGAATATTAGATAATGATGATTGGATTATAAATATACAATCAGAATTGAAAAAGTTAGGATTAGGGTATTTATGGAATAACTGCTATGAAAGTAAGATTATGTATAAGTTAAAAGAGCACAAACTTTATGATATACATGTGCAAGAAATTTTGTCTAAAATATAGAATTCCACAAAAGGAACATTGTATCAGCATTTAGTAGATAATTTTGGTCTGCAATACTACATGAAAAAAACCTATTGATCAGTTGTATAAGAACAGTATTTCATGTATTCGCTTAAGCTCTCATTAGCTCAATATTGAAAGTGGAAGATAAAATGATTTCGCTAGGTCCAATAGAGTTTGTACATTATGTGATGCTCATGATATTGAGGATGAGTTTCACTTCATCCTTAAGTGTCCTATTTATGCAGATTTACGGGTGAGATACCTGAAGCCGTATTATTTTAGTCGTATTTAAACTTGTTTAATGCTCAGTGTTAATAAAGTAAAAGATTTGTGTAATCTTGGTAAATATATAAGATTTGCTTTTAAGAAGCGCTCTCAGTCATTATAGCATTATCACATTCAGGTGTGTGTGTGTGTGTGGTTGTGTGTGTATATGATACGATTACATACAATTATCACTCATGTACACCATTACTCTATTTAACATGTTAATATGTATTATATGTGTTTTGTATCTTATAAGTCGTAAGGCTTACAGAATAAACTGATTGAGTTATAGCAGAGACGTATATATTACAATACGTCTCTCTCTATAGTAAGTTTGTTAACGGAGTGCCCTTTCTGTGTGTGGTAATTATTAAGGTGTCAAAAATCAGTCAAGCGGTACCTATTAACCTACATGGTTCAATGAAAAAGACCTTTTTCAGCTGACCAATTAGTACCTCTTAGCGCCCTTAGCAAGTTACAGTGGACAGTATATATCAGAGGCTGGGATTAACCTGGCCTAGGGTATATTTGGGAATATTATATTAACGACAACAAGATTTCTTAATTAATTAAAACAACGGTTTATTGATTTCTTTAGAGAAGAATGTACAGAAAAAAATAGAATATCCTCAAAAGCAAATGTTTATAAATATATTTACGATCATTTTGATCGACAAAACTACCTGCGTAAATCCATACTATTGTTTTGAAAACTTTTTATATTAAAAAGCCAAGCATGTTTAAATTGAAAGGACTACTGAGTGTGAAAAATACAAGAAATAACGAACTTAGGGAATTATATAAAATTTGCAAATTCGAGAAGAACCTAATTATTATAAATAGATATAGACGCACTTGTAATTGTGTTATGAGTGTGTGTAATGATGTGTAATGTTATTTTGAATTTTGCACAGTTAATATCACAAATTTTGTTACTTTGTAACTAGTGAGCCGAACGACTCAAAGTAATAAAGAACTTGAACTTGAACCTGCTAATTAGGCCACGTACATGTATAACAAAATATGAGATATTGTAGCACTTACACTTACATGTATTGAGCACAGAAAAACAAAATTTCATGTAGTTTTGCCACTGATCTATTGTGGCGTTGTCTATCAAAAAGTCTGACAACGGTCAGAGACGTATACATTTTCACTTGCTTCTGTGTGCGATTCCCCATCACCAGTTTTACGAAAAAGTACTTAATTATGGAGACTCCTAACCTTAAAATTTCAGGAAAATGACATCAGCTTCCCCCGACGTCAACAACGTTTTCATGTTGAACTAGAGATAAGNCACTCCCCCCCTCCCCACCCCCACCAAGAACAAAAATGTTATAAATGAGTGATAAATGTATCTAATAAATCAACCCCTCCCCCTACCCACACCCTTTTAATTTGCTCTACTAAACCATGACTAATTGCCCCTGGACCCTGATCAGGAAGCTATTGCCCAAGTCCCAACCCTCCTTGATCCCCGCCTGTTTAGGAACAAACGTACATGTACCAACTGAGAAATAGATATATTAAAGTTTGACTGTGGTCTCGGCCCCTATGTTATCTGACATCAGACCCCTATACCCGCTGCAGTACACAGCCCTCAGGGTGTGCAAGACAGTCATAGTTTCTCCAGTACAGGATTCAGACAGGTAAGATTTACCTGTCGAAAAGTCAGTATAGATACCTACATGCTTATGATCGATAAAGAAAACCTAAATTCTTATTAATACCATAGGTGCATGTCAAGAATGACAAAAATACATATATTTAGTACATATTATTTTACTTATTTATAATAGTTTCCTTCAAGCAAGAGCTTGCCTTTCAAACTGAAAAAAATATATATACATTATCGCGCACTCAATCATATATAATAACTCCCGTTACAATATACATGTACAATGTAAACTTAAACAAGAATTAACTACATTTTCATAATAAAGTAAAAGATGTATAACAAAAAATACTGTTTTTCTGTGAATGAAATTGAATGAATATACATGGTATAACATGTATACATTTGAAATCTCCGATGCATGTATTTGTATGTACTAATAATTAAGCACGTTATCGGTTTCGAAATCCTACGAAAAATCGAAAAGTGTATGGAAGTATTAAAGACGATATAAAAAAGAGGAATAGAGGTACTGGATCCTTAACACAGGAGTCTGAAATAATTTCAGGTTTTTTTATTATTAGGCTTATTAATTATAACGTTTCTCGTTAAGAAAACGTAACCAGTTTACTTACTGTCAATATTTATTAGTCTTTTATTCGGTAAGCAGGTGGAAATACTTCTGACCATAACTTATTATTATCTGTGTGTCGCGTTGATCTGTTAGCGTACGTCAGGTCTTTGTGATGGATATATTACATGTACCAATATTAGTTCGACCTTTATCTTTATAAATCACGAGACATTTCTGTTTGTTTACCACTCATCCATTATGCAAACGAAATGGAAAAATTTGAAACATTCTTATGTGCCTCCTCGTAGCCTACAGTTTACTGACGTTTTTTCCTATGCATTGTGGGTATTTTCGTTTCGTTTTAGATATTTTATATGCTTCCGCTTTTTATGTAAACCCGTTCTTGTTACCACAAACGAATCACCGTTTGTAAGCGTCATCTGTAGCACTTCCGTACCGTTTGCGTAACATTTCCGTACCATTTGCGTAGCACTTGCGCACCGTTTGCGTCACAGGTGGAACAGCGAACGTGGACGGGTCTGTAGTCTTTGGCCAAAGGTACTCAATTTTGTATAAACAGTGGGTGTGGCCTCCTAGGCCTGGGGGCAGAGGGGTGGGTCTAATTCAGGGATTTCATCCTTATTATCCCCTCATAACGAAGGTCGAGAGGATATAAGATTCCGCCCATACGTATGTACGTTCACGTACGTTGTATATAACACTCTTCGTCATCGATTTAGGGACTTCATTTCTCAACGGAATTTCATGAAACTTCATACACGTGTTTGGTATTACAACACCTTGAACAAGTTTGCATTTCGGCTTACTGCGTTGAAGGTTAAGATGACTGTTACTATTTTTAGAAAAACTTTGTCATCACTCTAGCGACTTCATTCCTCAACAGAATTTAATGAAACTTCAAACAAGTATTTGGTAGGGAAATGCCTTGAACGAGTTCGCATCTCTATGATGAAGGTCAAGGTCACTGTTATTATTTTTAGAAAAACTTTGTCATTACTCTAGCGACTTCATTTCTAAACGAATTTCATGAAACATCACACAAGTGTTTGGTATGACAATGCGTTGAATAATTTGCGTTTCGGGTTACTGCGTGAAAGTTCAAGGTTGCTGTTACTTTGTTTAGAAATATTTGTCATCACTCTTTCAACTTCATTCCTCAGCAGAATTTTGTGAAACTCGATACAATTGTTTGCCCTGACAATACCTTCAACAGATGCAGTCACTAGACCAAATACTGTACATCATTGACTTTTCTATTCATTTCCTCATATATATTTGGCACACAATGTGTGAATGCGATGGGATTTTTATCACTTGTGATGCTTCATCAAGTCTGGAGCATCTTTGGTCCAAGGGACAAACGTCTTTTCCATTATCCAGTGACTGGCAAATTTTATGTACTATTTTAACAAGCTGATTAATAGTAGAATCTTTTTTTTTTAAACCAGAATTTTCCTGTATCAAAATATCATGTTCTTTACAAAACTCATATATGGAGGCCGAAGGACAGCCCCGGTCTACCTGTATTTTGCAAAAGCTTGTCTCCCTCAGATAGACATTGGACTAACCCGATCTACCGGATTTGATTGAAGTGGGTCTATTTGTAAGGTTGAACCATATTTGTGATTTGCAACACCTTACCTCCTTCAGAATATTAGACTTACCCAATCAGTCAGATTTAGATGGTGTTCGGGTTTTGTAACATCTGTGTCAAGTTGACACTTTTGGCTTACAGGACATAGGGCTTCCTCATCGTAGTTAGAGACAATAATACACATTATATTTGATACTTTTCCATGAATGGCTTATAGCTTGTGACTGGCAAAAGATGGCGTGTGGTGTTTTCTCAATCAAACAACACAAGATATTTTATCATTACAGTACTATTAAAATATGATACGGTGTGTGTTCATGGCAAGAATCAATTGAAAGACAGGTTTGTTACGAACTTGTAACCCATTTATTAATTCATTTAAAAAAAGTGTTTTTGTAAACTTTTGGAGATAATAGGCCTATAACTTTGCTGCCAAAATGTTAGCCACTGAGAATGTAATTTATATATGCATCTACTGCTAGACCATAAGAAGATGGTGTTTTCCAACTTCGTTTATTTTGAATAATTTAATAGCTATTATGTTAATTACCGTATCAATTCATATAGCAACACAAATATCTATTTTGCATCTTTTATTAATTATTAATTATTAATTAAGGATAAATAGTTAAATGTTCATCTGTCTGTAAGTTCTGTATACAAACGGATCAGGAGAAAATCCCCGTCTTTTCAAGATGGCGGACCATGCAATTCAGCGATCCTTCTTAAAACAAAATCCGGGAAACATCGATAGCTATTACATTTGGGCAACCCCTACTTCAAACTTGATTTTAACAGAAAAAAACTGCGCAAATTACACAAGTTTTTACGGTAGATAAAAATCCATCATTTGGATCAAACAATGTTCTGTTTGAAACCAATACAACTAAATCATACCATACACTTTTTGATGATGTCAAGTCAAAAAGGAAAAAAATCTTTTTAGTATCTCTCTTCAACATTTTTTCATTTTTCTCTCCTTTCAGTGGATGACTTATCAACGAGCCAGAGGAGTACTGAGAGTGTAAGTTTATCTCATACTGTGACTGTAAGAGGGAGATAGTGATATTTATCACCTTGTACAAAGTGCCACAGTGAGCCTACATCATGGCTCTTCATTAGTGTAAGTTTATCTCATACTGTGACTGTAAGAGGGAGATAGTGATAATTATCACCTGGTACAAAGTACCACAGTGAGCCTACATCATGGCTCTTCATTAGTGTAAGTTTATCTCATACTGTGACTGTAGTAGGGAGATAATGATATTTATCGCATGGTACAAAGTGCCACAGTGAGCCTACATCATGGCTATTTATCAGTGTAAGTTTATCTGTTACTGTGACTGTAGGAGGGAGATAGTGACATTTATCACCTGGTACAAAGTACCACAGTGAGCCTATATCACGGCTCTTCATTAGTGTAAGTTTATCTCATACTGTGACTGTAGGAGGGAGATAGTGATATTTATCACCTGGTACAAAGTACCACAGTGAGCCTATATCATGGCTCTTCGTTAGTGTAAGTTTATCTCATACTGTGACTGTAGTAGGGAGATAATGATACTTATCGCATGGTACAAAGTGCCACAGTGAGCCTACATCATGGCTATTTATCAGTGTAAGTTTATCTGTTACTGTGACTGTAGGAGGGAGATAGTGATATTTATCACCTGGTACAAAGTACCACAGTGAGCCTATATCACGGCTCTTCATTAGTGTAAGTTTATCTCATACTGTGACTGTAAGATGGAGATAGTGATAGTTATCACCTTGTACAAAGTACCACAGTGAGTCTATATCATGGCTATTTATCAGTGTAAGTTTATCTCATACTGTGACTGTAGGAGGGAGATAGTGATATTTATCACCGGGTACAAACCACAGTGAGCATATATCAGGGCAAATCATCTGTCTGTTGTCATCATATGTTGCCGACACCAATTGCATTAAGTGACATCTCCTCCAAAACAGCAGATAAGACACCTGTACGAAATCACAAATGTCTGCTTAGCAGACTCGAACTACTGAAATGGCCATAAATAAGGCACACAAACCAGGGCCAGAAATTAATTTGGAGTCTGTTGGTGCAGTAGTTACACAAGTCAATCGGGGCTAGCAGATTTGAGAACCACTAGACCAGTTGGAGATTTCACTAGTCTCAGACTATTGGGCTACCCATATTGTCTAGTCCTACAAACCCATCACAATTAAATGGTATACAAACTAAATTGTGATCCCCTGACACCATATCTCCTTCAAAAAGATACTTGTGTACTTGTGTACGTACGTCACATGGCATGACATCGTAAAAGGCCATATACCATGTCTGAGCCTTGGGATGATAAAATCTTACCACCAACCTGGAATAACTAGTTTATTATCCCCTCGCAATGAAATTTCGAGAGGATATAAGATTCAGCCCGTTCGTACGTATGCACCTGTGTATGTATATGTTAGTATGTTACACTCTCTGTAACTGGTCACTGTTACTATTTTTAGAAAAAAGTTTGTGTAAATGGAATTTTATGAAACCGTAATTACACCCTATTAGTCTCATGTCTATATTTAACAAGGAAGTGAAACCTAATGCCAGGAAATTAAACAGGCAACTTACATTACCGTACGACTCACAGACACATGTAATGTGTACATCACACATTCACAGAACGTTCAGTATTACATGTACAACTGGGTTTATTTTTTATATTGAAAGCAAATATACATGCTATTTAATGCTTATCTAAATCTAAATATCATTAATTAAAACTGTATCAGGCAAAGCCACATGTAAATATGTCATATATACAAATTGACACTCACAGTGTCTCTGTAATACATAAACGCAGTCATTTATATATTGTTTGGCCATATACTTCGATATTCATACATAGTTATTTTCACAGTGTCAGATATGTCACATACAAAGAGCAACCTTGGGCACAAGTTTTGAGAGTACACTATAATGTAATGTCATCCCATGTTTCAAAATTCAAAGTTCAAAAACAATGTTCTAGTCCCATTCTACATTGCTTAGTTCGTGTGAAAAGTGATAAATGGTGTTCTTGCATTGACACGTCTTCACTGAAATTATATAGTTACTTTCAAAACTCAGATCTAAAGATGCCCAAATAGTCAACTGCCGTACACATTTACATACAGTGTCATACATACTGCATCAAACACACATCACATACATGTATGTGTCATACTACACAAATGTGTATGCATCAATGTATCTAGCTATACGGAAAAATATCATGCTCTAAAAACTATGCAAATTTTAAAATATCAAAGCCCTGGCCTGTGATATCATTTTCAAGTGCTTATTTATTGTCATAACCTGTTCTTTGTTAAGGCCTGCAATTGCCCCTAAATTGGGTTTAATCCTCTGTATTCTCTTTCACGCAAAAGCTATGTACTTCCTTATTATATTGTTGTTTGTCAAACAACACTTACACTATTGAAATTATATCAAATTACCGGTTTTAAGTACTACCGAAATGTAATGCTTTTACAGGCGATGTTATCTTTTGTCTGTAGCATTTAATTACAATTTTAAGCAAGAAAACAACTTGGTCGTTACTGCCGTTGGATGGCCATGTTCCTATAACATAAGAGGCCGCTGGTTGGCGTGTTTTTTATCAGATATTGACAGGTCCAGTACACTCTGCCGATTGAGCTATATAGCTATAAAGACCTATATAGCTATATCCACCTATAAATTATAGCTGTATTGAGCTATATTTTCTCAGATTTCAACTTTCATAAAATTAAAGCAAAGTCGCATAAAACAATAAGGTTTATTACAAAAAGCATACAGTTACATGTTTATTTTCATAAAAGCGACTTTGTTTCGTTTTCCTTAAAAAAGAAAATCACTTGAAAATAGCTCAAAATACCTATTTCAGATAGGTCAATAGAGCTAGTATAGGTCTTTACAGCTATATAGCTCAATCGTCAGAGTGTACTGGACCTGGTTGATATGATAATGCCGAATGCTACGCCCGTCAGGAAGTTTCCTGCAGTGTAAACCTCTAACATGGTTGGATCACAGGGATTCGTTTCAAATGTCCGAAATACACATATGTTATACTGATATGAGTCACAGCACACATAAAACACAATGTGTGCTGTACTGCTGTGACCCATATCAGTATATTGTATATGTGTATTTCAGACATTTGTAACGAACCCCTGTGGTTGGAGCACAGGGGCACGGTTCAATTCACAAATTTATATCTGAGGTCTCCTTGTCTACAATATGTATGATAAACCTCTGGTACGTATCGGGGACTTGGTGTGTATCGGAATTCTCTGGTACGTATCGGGGACCTGGCATGTATTGGAAACATCTAGTACGTCTTGGGGACCTGGGCCCACTTGTATAAAACATCAAATGTCACTTTGACTATCTTTATACAAACTTTCTCATCGCTCTATTGATTTCATTCCTCAATGGAATAAAAATGTATTATCCATTGAAGAATGCAGTCGATAGGGCAGATGCTGATACATCAATGAATTTTCTATTAATCACCTTATACATATGTCACACAATGTGTGAATGCGAGGGGATTTGCATCACCTTTACTCTTTTTTTCATTTTTCTTTTGCAGCCGAAAGTATTAGACCTCCATACCAAGGTCGTAATGGAATTAAGTGATATATTTTCACTTAAATCAGCAGACTGGCTTTCTATTTGTTTTCAAGTAAAATCAAAAGGATATCTTTCAACCAATGATATGGATGATGTTAACAATATTATGGATCTGTGTGAAGCCTTGAAGAAGAAAGGAATCATCAATTTTGGGGAGTACAGTAAACTACGTGAAATTCTTGTTACACGTGATGTGAAGGCAGGAAAGATAATTGATAAATACGAGGAGAGAGTACGTCGGGAAAAGGAAGGTAATATTAATTGTTTGTTATATTCAATGATACAATCGTGAAATTCCAGAAAGGTTACAATTATTGTTTATTATTTAACAGTTTAAGTATGGGGATGAGGGATATAGCAAGTTTATGGCCATACTTCAACTGTTTTATTATACCGATACAAACACTCCCTTGCAATATTCTAAATATTATTAGACAACACATTTTCAACAGTTGGGACACTTTATGAACAAAACTAAAATTTTCTTGAGAATCAACATCAGAAAAAACCAGTATTTGCAATAACATGAAATAAAGGATATCACATGTATACCAAACCGCATAGTCACCATAGATTTTTTGGCATATTTTTTCCAATCCTGCCTTCGAAGCTCGGCGAAAAAACGCCTCAGCGTCGCATCACAATTCTCCACTGTGTCCGTTTCCATGTACGCTATATCCAAACCCTTTTCAGTGAGGTAGCTAGAGAGCAATGTAACGGGTGCCTGTACTGGTTTTTTTGTGTTCCAACTGTCTTTTGCCTCCAATATGTCCGACAACTCGCTCTCGTCCAACACAGAAAACCTGGGGGTCGCTATTTCTGTTGTCGTCTGTCAACCACAATGCGAGGTGAAGGTCGGTCCAGAAAGTACCGGCTCCACTGGCCGGAAATTGCCAACGTAATTCGATTGCGCTGATTGGTCAATATTCGGTCAGGCCCCGCCCACGACGTCACTCAATTTCCCGCATTTTCCGAGGGAAATAGTTTCAAAACTATCCCACACCTCCAGACGAACTATTTCCCTGGCATGCGGTTAGAGGGGAAATAGCTTGTTTATGTGGTTACTTTTGTATAGTGTAAAATAAGTAGAGGTATAATAAATATATTTATTGACATGTAAATGATCTCCGTACGACTGCCAAAAAATAACTAAATATTGGAAGTTGTTTTTTTTCGACATAACTATAGCTTTGATGAATCATTAAAAAAACAGAGAATCACGCGTAATTATATGCCTCGTCGTGACCAGCTTTGTGTTTTCACAAACAATTTATGCTTATAGCATTTCAAATAAATTCCATCAGAGAGGAGAATAATAACCATGTGATAAGCTGCGAATACAGGTTTTATCACTGGATTTAATGAGTAAGACAGCATTTTCTCGAAGGAAATAATGCGGTACCGGTACATATATTCCGCTTTTATCACATGCATACATGAAAACTGTGATAGATGCATTTGTCACGATGCCCTCACGGTCTTGTGTATGGTTGATTCTCAACAATTAAAATTAAAATTAACAACACTTTAATAAATCAACAAAAAAACTAAGTTCCATCACAACAACTGCCTTGGCAAACCGGCAAAAATACAACCTTGATAACAATAGGTTCCGGTATTAAGATACAAAAACAGTACTCTCAGTTTACATAGTAACCGTATGTTACAGCCCGAGATCTGTACCAAGTAATAACCGTCCACAGCAACACGCACAAGTAATACACAAGTTCCCGTTTCCACCATACAGCTCACTTGACTAGTCTTCTATAATTCTAAAGTTCCAGTTTTAACCTAAAGTTCATGTTTCAATAATAACAGCAAACACTGTAATACTTAACAGTAATCACTGTGTAATGGTAAAAGTTCTTCCTTTAGTTCCCTCGAGATGATAAGGCAAACATATAAAGTTCAAGGCCAGACATATATGTCCTGGTGGGTAATTTAGTTCAGAGTTCCAAGATATCATCATAGCCTTAGTATAAACATGTAGAATTTACAACACAGTCTAGAGTTCCAAGCCCTGACTTAACTGATTTAACACAGTCACCTTAAGCACTGACATTATAGTGTTGCACAGGAGGTACGACGCCAACATATGCTGCAATGGGCGGTTGTGTGAAGTTCCGTGTGTCTAACTGGGACGAGTACCGGTGTACTGCTGAACAGCCTTACTTTGCCTTCAAACTGTATTGAAAATTCCACTGACATAATATACCCGAGCTGGCCCAGGGTAGAAAACTGTAATACAAATAAAAACGTGTGGTAGTTTCGTATAGTGGAATTTTCAGGTAACTACTCCTGGGTTCCGTAGAATATTCTTATGACCTGTATGACCGCATAACAAAAGGAAACAACGCCGTAATTATGTACAGAACGAATTTATTTACACAAAAGACTCTTCGAGACGACCCCCGGCATTATACACAACAAGCAATACACATATACTAAGACGAACGGACGACTCACCTACATATTATAGACGACGGATAATTTAGAACCTAGTTGAGCCGGTATCTGTTGACTCTCAGTCAGTTCCTAGGCTAAACTTGACACCGGGAGTCAACAGAGGCCGCTGAAAGAAACCGAAACATGAATTTAGTGACCCAGGCCGAATGTTAATTTGACTTACCGAAATGTTGCGTCAGGAAGGGCCCGTGAGCTCTGGCCCGTTCCCGATTCAAACTTCCGCCAGAACTAACGAAACCCTCGTGCATTCCCTTATATAAGGACCCTGGACCCACCTAGCTTGACCCTGGTTCGACTGGTTTGGCCGGTCCAAACCATGAACCTAACAAGAATCTCGGGACATGTACCGCCAGTGCAAAAAAAAGAACAGGGGAATTCCCTACCGACAACTACCACTAGGAGGCGCCACTGCATACGAACGCTTCAAAATGGCCGTCTCACAAGACAGAACGGAGTATACCTAGCAGGAATAAACGTGTTCCTGCTACAAACGTATTATAACACCTAAAATGGACAATTTGTTGTATTTGGATATTCACTGAATTATACTACATATCTGAACTACGAGATGTATCATACAAATCAATAATATTCACTACAAATTCTAGTATTGACACAATGTATGTCAATTATCATTATTACAAAGAGAATAATGCTAAGTTTACAAATCACATGTGGACGAGTTGACTTGCATCAATTGACACGCATGCTTTATCATCTAAATACCGACCTTGATCATATGACAATACCTAAATTTAGCATACACATATCAATTGACATATTATGAAACTATAGACATGATGGGAACAAAACTTACTCGGGAGCATGTCTTTTTCTCAAACAAACCTATTTCCGGTTACACTAATAAACGGAGTCGGAAGTCTTTTCCGGATACAATAAAACAAGATTAAGATAAGTGGAAATAACTCCTACATGATTATAAACTAAATTCACCAACAGCACAAGCCTGACGAAGGTCAAGGTCCTCTACCGTGATGTAGTTAAATCCACCCCATCCCTAATGCCTGTCTCTCTCAGCTATAGTACATCTTCATCAATTAACATCCTGGTCAGGCGTCCCACCAGAGGCCTAGCCCATGACCGATGGTGCCTATCAAACCAAACAAACACCCTATAACTATACCTGTCTCACAATCCAATGTAAACAAACAACGATTACCTGCTTCCGGTATTGTAATTCTACTTCCGGTCTACAAAATTACTCCTGCAAGCGTATTTTACCCCTTTTATTGCTAACATGAATATTTACACACAACCGGTAAATTAACACCTAGTTTCAAGAGTTATTTACTCAATAAAACCATACATAATGAAACTTGACCGCTAATACCTCCATACAGCGGGTTTTGCTAGCTTCTCTCTGTAGAGCACATGTTACAAACATTGCCGTAGCTCACAAATAAAATATCACGTTATTCTGCTCAAAATACTCATTTACCATATTTGACAGTTGTATACACCTATAGTAAAATTGTACAGTGTTTTAAAAAATATTAACACTCACCCTTACAGTGCACATTAACTCGAATTTCCCCCACAACCTCACAAACACCACCTCCCTGGCTAATGTCGCCTCAGTTCTCCGTGCGGCTGACTGTTACGTCACGAGAACCCGTATGTTAGGTAATAACCGCGGGAAAACCCCGCGCGGTAAATTCAAATGCTCTTATTTCCGTTTCACACCAAACTATCTTATACATCCTGTCATACCTTGACATGGGTGTAGCTAATATGCACTGGTAAATTTGTGAATGAAATGTTTTTGAAAGTAAATATGTTCAATTACTGTAAATACTTAAGGTGTGTATACAAATCAAACTTAATCTGACAATTACTAAATAAATTATGTCCAATTCTAAAAAGTACCCCAAATTTTAAGTTTTCTACCCAAGAAATGGAGCCAAGCTTTTCAAATCTCTGTTTTTGACCCTCAGTGAGTTGTACACTGCATAACCAACTGAGCTAAAAACCCAAAAAATAACTTTAGCTGACCTAGAACACAACAAAATAACCCTAAAGTTTTTTTTTATAAAATGGGAAGTAAATCTTATTATACAATTATTAAAGAAGTTATGTCCAATTCTCAAAATCACTCGAATTTAATGTTTTGTGCCCCAAAAAAATTGTTGTGGTCATCTGAGCAAACATCGCATATTACATGTTGAAGTACTGTGTATACTTAAGGTGTGTATGACATTTGAAGAGTAAATCTAACAATCATTTAAGAAGTTATGTCCAATTTTCAAAATCACCAGAAATTCAATGTTTTCTGCCAAACAAATTGTTGTGATCATCTCAGCAAAATACACGTATAACATATTAAAATACTGTGTATACTGAAGGTGTGTATGAACTTTGAAGTTAATCTAACAATCACTAACGAAGTTATGTTCAATTCTCAAAATTACCCAATATTGTATGTTTTTGGGCCAAAATATGTAAAAAAAAATATGAATGTAAAAATCCCCACTTTGACATTACAGTATGAAAGGAAGACTCCAAAAGAACCTAAATGCAAAATTTCAACACTATAATGCCATTATTTACTGATTAAGAAGCATATAACGAAAACTTAACGTTGAGCTAAACGCAATGTTTGACGCCGTCGCCGTTGCTGTCGACGGAAAAGCAACACCTTAGTCTCGCTTTTGCTCCGCCGTCGCGGCGAGACAACATTGAGGGACTTTTTTGATAAGTAGTAGATATGAAATAAACAAAACATAAATCAACAAATCACACCCTTGAATTCAGATTGTTTAATTATCTCTATGTGACTGAACTTCCTGGACAACGGAAGTGTCGGCGGGTGATCCGGGTCCGAGATTTGTATGATAGGTTAATTTTGCGGGTTTGACCCGCAAGATGCAGGGTAGGTGATACATGTGTAGGTAATACATGTGTAGGTGGTATATGTGTAGGTGATACATGTACATGTGTAGGTGATACATGTGTAAGTGATACACATGTATGGGTGATACATGTGTATGTGATACATGTGTAGGTGGTACATGTGTAAGTGGTATATGTGTAGGTGATACATGTGTAGGTGATACATGTGTATGTGATACATGTGTAGGTGATACATGTGTAGGTGATACATGTGTAAGTGGTATATGTGAAGGTGATACATGTGTAGGTGAAACATGTGTAGGGTATACATGTGTAGATGCTATATGTGTAGGTGATATATGTGTCAATGATACATGTGTAGGTGATACATGTGTAGGGTATACATGTGTTGGTGAGACATGTGTCAATGATACATGTGTAGGTGAGACATGTGTAGGTGATACATGTGTAAGTGTTACATGTGTATGTGATACATGTGTAGGTGGTATAGGTGTAGGTGATACATGTACATGTGTAGGTGATACATGTGTAAGTGATACACATGTATGGGTGATACATGTGTAGGTGATACATGTGTAGGTGATACATGTGTAAGTGGTATATGTGTAGGTGATACATGTGTAGTTGATACATGTGTAGGTTATACATGTATAGGTGATACATGTGTAAGTGGTATATGTGAAGGTGATACATGTGTAGGTGATACATGTGTAGGGTATACATGTGTAGATGCTATATGTGTAGGTGATACATGTGTAGGTTATACATGTGTAGGTGATACATGTGTAAGTGATACATGTGTAGGTGATACATGTGTAGGTGTTACATGTGTAGGTGATACATATGTGGGTGATACATGTGAAGGTGATACATGTGTAGGTGATACATGTGTAGGGTATACATGTGTAGGTGATATATGTGTAAGTGATACATGTGTAGGTGAGACATGTGTAGGTGATACATGTGTAAGTGTTACATGTGTAGGTGATACATGTGTAGGTGTTACATGTGTAGGTGATACATATGTGGGTGATACATGTGAAGGTGATACATGTGTAGGTGATACATGTGTAGGGTATACATGTGTAGGTGATATATGTGTAAGTGATACATGTGTAGGTGAGACATGTGTAGGTGATACATGTGTAAGTGTTACATGTGTAGGTGATACATGTGTAGGTGTTACATGTGTAGGTGATACATATGTGGGTGATACATGTGAAGGTGATACATGTGTAGGTGATACATGTGTAGGGTATACATGTGTAGGTGATATATGTGTAAGTGATACATGTGTATGTGATACATGTGTAGGTGGTATGTGTAGGTGATACATGTACATGTGTATGTGATACATGTGTAAGTGATACACATGTATGGGTGATACATGTGTAGGTGATACATGTGTAGGTGATACATGTGTAAGTGGTATATGTGTAGGTGATACATGTGTAGGTGATACATGTGTAAGTGGTATATGTGAAGGTGATACATGTGTAGGTGATACATGTGTAGGGTATACATGTGTAGGTGAGACATGTGTCAATGATACATGTGTAGGTGATACATGTGTAGAGTATACATGTGTTGGTGAGACATGTGTAGGGTATACATGTGTTGGTGAGACATGTGTCGGTGAGACATGTGTCAATGATACATGTGTAGATAATACATTTGTAGGTGATACATGTGTAGGTGATACATGTGTAGGTGATACATGTGTAGGTGATATATGTGTAGGGTATACATGTGTAGGGTATACATGTGTAGGTGATATATGTGTAAGTGATACATGTGTAGGTGAGACATGTGTAGGTGAGACATGTGTAAGTGTTACATGTGTATGTGATACATGTGTAGGTGAAACATGTGTAGGTGATGCATGTGTAGGTTATATATGTGTAAGTGATACATGTGTAAGTGTTACATGTGTTATATGTGAAGGTGATACATGTGTAAGTGATACATGTGTAAGTGATACATGTGTTAGTGATACATGTGTTGGTGATACATATGTAGGTGATGTGTTACATGTCTAGGTGATACATGTGTAAGGGATACATATGGGAGCGTCAACCTTTTACATTAAGAAACTTTTTCTTGCAAACCAAGAGGCCTAGTGTGATGATATTTAGTCAGTAGCATGCTGGGAGGAAGGGCAACCACATTTGTTCAAAGGAATGACCCTGAATTATATTCAAAATCACAGGGTTCAAATATGTTGAAAACTTTAACAACTTTTTCTGAATAACCAAAAGGTCCAGGGTAATGGTATTTGGCCAAAATCATGCTGGGATGAAAGGCTATAAAATGTGTTCAACTTAATGTCCTTGCTCGACTTTCAAAGTCACAGGGTCAATTGTTTAAATGTTTTAATAGGTTATTTTGAATCAAACACTATTTTAGCCCACTTAAAAGAGTGATATGTATACCAGGTGAGCGATGCAGGCCAATTGGGCCTCTTGTTTGAAATAATCCACAAATGTAAGGACGACCACTTTATGTTAGATAATTTTTAACTGGAGATTTATTTCCGACACAATAACCCTATATATGTTTATATATTATTTCAGGTAATACTCAATCCGAACCTCTGAAACAGTGGAAAGGCATTGGAGGGAATGTTGAACAGTTCAGCTCAGGCTGCAGATTGAAAGACTGGAACTCTCATGGAGTCTTACGCATGTGTTCCTACTTCAAAAGGAGTTGGCATGGTGATAAATATTCGTCCAATTAAAAAAGAAAGGGATCATTTTATCACCGTGAACAAATTGAACACCACAACTTCGAATCAAAATAACACACGCGGTGTGCTTTCCGTTTGTGACAACATTTTAACTCTTAAAAACACAGCAACAGATTTGAAGATTGAAGTTCAATCTAATGGAGAAATATTCTACTTTTGGGGTAATAGGAGAGATTCTACAACCGCTGAAACAGAATGTATCCAAAACAACAATTTTGCAATTGTGTTTGAACTTTTCAACACGCAATTGAAAATAACTGAATCGTACAGTATAGATGAAATTGAAAATGGTCCGGTTGTACAACCGGGTGCTTTAGTCAACGGCTCGTGCGTGGAATCGGAAACAACTTCATCCCTCGAGTCCATCATAGACATCGAAGACGATGAAGATAATGAAAACGATAATCAGATCAATCCAGCAAGATCTCGTCGTCACTCAGAACGTGATGTATCAGAAAAAAATAAGAATGAATTAAAAATCAACGAAGATTTATCTATTGAACCCCCACGAAAACAAATATGTATGGCTGTACGTCAACCACAAAATCGCATAGATAAATATTTCATAACGTCTATTAACACAAAACTTGTAAACTATCTAGAACCTTATCCGTTTTGTGACCATTTGGTAGAACACGGTTTTATGTCAATGGACGACAATAATTACATAACGCGTTTAAGGTATAACAAACCACGTCGCGACGTGATCAGAGAGATCTTATCAATACTAAACAAATCAAATATTAACGAGGAGACTTTCAAATATATTTTGGAGAAATCAGATTTTAGTCATCCTCTCTAGAAAAACTTGCTTCCAGAAGTAAAGTTCATTGTTTTTTTCCATTTTTAGCACCGATAAGCATAACGAGTTCGTTTTAAGCTAAACCCCGTAGCCGTTGACTGAAAGACGCACCCACTTTTGTTTTGTTATCTTAATAAGCTTTTTAACTCGCTATCATCAGATGGTGGGATATTCAAATCATCCTGCGTCCGTTGTCTGTCCGTCCTTAAACACTTCTTATTAGTGCTACTTCTAAAAAGTATAGAAGGAATCTTTCTCAAATTTCGGATGAAGGTTCTCCATATTCCCTAGTTGTGCATATTAAAATTAAGGACTGACGAGAAAAACATGATTGTCGACAGACAGCCATCTTGAACTTGAGAGTTAAAGTTTGATAGCACTATTTCTCAGAATGTACTAGAGGGATCTCGCTCACATTTTACTGTGAAGTTCCCTATGGTCCCTAGTTGTGCATATCGTATTTGGGGACTGACAGAGGGATCCTTTTAAAAAGATCTTATGGAGGTTCCCTTTTTTGTTGTTAGTTAACCATACCAATTTTTGAGACTGATTGAATCACCAGGATGGATGACAGGCAGCCACTTTCTCGAGCTATTTCTCAAGAGGAACTGGAGAGATCCTTCTCAAATTCCATATGAAGGTTCCCCATTGTCATAAGTTTAGCATATCAAATTGTGGGACTGATTGAAAAACCAAGATTGCCGACAGGCAGCCGTCTTGAATTTGAGAGTAAAAGTTTATTAGCGCTTTGTCTCAGAACTTATTTGAGGGATCTTTCTCAAATTTCGTACGAAGGTTCCCCATTTGCCTTTGCGTTTTGGGACTGAAGGTCCATCCGTTCATCAACAATTTCTTCTTTTTAACCATTGATTGGAATTTGACTAATTTGACTGGAAGCATCCCTAGGTTGTGGGTATTCAAAATTGTACAAATGGTGGGGCTGAAGGGTGGGGCCAAAAAAGGCAATTTTACTATATTGTTTTAAGTGACTTCTTTTGTGGAACTAAGAGATATATATCAACCAAATTTGACTGAAAGCACTGAAAATTATACAAATGGTGGGACCACCCCCCAGGGGGTTGAGGGACAGGGCCAAAAGGGGACAATTTGGCTTTATTGCTATAAACGACTTCTTCTGTAGAACTATGCACTGGATATAAATCATATTTGGTCAGAAGCATTCATGGGCGGTGGGGATTCAAAATTGTACAAACCCCCGGCTTAGGTTTTGGGCCAAAAATTGTTTATTACATGGAAATGGTACAGATTCCCACCCTATAACCATAAATACAATTGCTGAGTAAAAAGAGAAGAATGCACATATGCTTCCAGGATGCCTCCGGGGTCTGACTCCATCCTTGGAGACTTAACCCCTGGGTCATAACTTTGAAACGGTTGAGATCCCCACCCCAAAACTATATATACATTTTTTCTGCATAAAAAGACAAAAGCTGTCACGATATTAGAATTGACCCCGGGATCTGCTCCACCCTTGCAAACTTAACCCCTGGGTCATACCGGTAACTTTGAAACGAATTAGATCCCTACCCCAAAATTATATATACAAATGCTTGGCATAAAAAGATAAATAATGTTATGATATTAGAATTGACTCGGGGTCTGGCCACAACCCTAGTGACCTAGTTTCTTATAATTAGTCACAGCTTGGAAACAGTTGAGATCCCCACCCCATAACCATACATAAACGTGCTTGGCATGAACAATCTAATACAGATATGCTACAAGGTTTGGCCTTAGAGTCTGGCCCATTCCCTTGGATCTTATAAGGAGAATATATTGCCATTATTGCCTAGATATCGAGGTGAGCGATACTGGCCCTCTGGGCCTCTTGTATTATCACAAATTACTTGTTGTATAACCATAACTTAATATAATTAGTGCACTTAATTGTTTGTTAGGTAATTGGGTCAATATTTAACAACTGCATCCTACATGAATTGTAAACTGTCGTCTGCTACAGCACTGTCCTATCCCTTGTGTGTCTGACTTACCTGTGTCATGCTTGACTGCCTACCAGGGGTCAGGCATGTGCATCAGAGGTCAGGCAGCCTGAGTGAACAGGCAGTGCTGTGAGAGACTTCGGTGGAGAATTGGCCAGCAGAGAGGCCAGAGGCAGCTATAGAGTGGCTAGTGAAAACATGTCACAAGCCCAGTTGATCAGGGTGAGTGATTATCAACAGCCAAGGGTGAAGTCCATCCCAGTACTAGTCTCATTCAACCAGACGCTTGATCAGTTGATCTGTTCGGCGTAGCTTGCGCATACAAGAGTCTAGTTGAACGAGACTATCCCAGTACACGGTAACTTGATAAACAGCGTAAGCCTCCCTCAGAGAGGATACAAGTTAATACCTGGGGTTGATTTCACCTCCTTCTGTTCACCGGTGGTATACACTGGGTACTGGTAGCACCAACCAAAGGCAGTAAGGTTATCTACGTCATTAGTGTGATGATAAAAACCATGTGAAACCGGGGTGAAAGCTAATTGTGAAAGTGAGGTGAAGTTTTTTTTTACATTGTTTGACATCATTCTATGAATGGAATCAATATTTTTTAATTCTTTCCCTGTCTTGTTCGGTGTTTTCTGTAGGGCCCAAGTCGTGACAGCCCGACAGCAAAAGGTCTTCACAATATCTATATTGAGCAAAACTTCAATACGTTTGAGGTTCATCTTTTTCTACACTTTAAATACATGATACTGATTTCATAGTTGTGACCGTCCTTAAATTACCTTAGCTGTCAATACTAAACCAAACCAATCACAGTTGTGGAAGCATGGCATACAGTCATTTATCCTCTCTTGGTTACAAATGATGGCAGATTTTCATGTTTAACTTTTTATATATTACCAAGTCTTCTTTTTCTATATCCCGGGGCTCTTTCTCCACTCGCTTTGCCTTGATTGGTTTGGTTTTATTTTATTTTGTTTAACGTCCTATTAACAGCTAAGGTCAATTAATGACGTGCCTCCATGTGTTGTGCAAGCCTGCATGCGTGTATGTGTGTCGGAGACAGGGGATGTTTGTGTACTTACCTCCTTGTGATAGTGCGGATTAAAAGCCGACTTTATAGTGCTATCTCAACGAAATACCATACCGAAGGCACCAAGCGCAGCATTCCGCTGTGACTTGACTCTCACAATTACCTATACAAATAGAAAGAACTGATCAATTGTAAATATCTATTCATGCGTTGGGAATATAGCAGATCTTTTTTTCAAAGTCCTTTTGGAAGAAAAACGAAAACAATTCGTATGCAAAATGTACAGCTATCGACTCCTTTGTAAACTTATGGATCCTCAGGAGACACATTCCAAGAAAGACAACCCTTAAAAGAAACTATTCAAGGTAACTTTATGTTCCTGATTTCCACTAGATTGATTGGTTTGGTTTGAATTTGTTCGACGTCCTATATAAAAATATATATTGTGCCATCTGTGTTATTGTGTATTTTTGCAACTTTTCCGGGATCAAATAATGAAAGGGTCTCACTTCATACAGATGATTAAATATAACACAAACAAAATGTTCAGTTGTCCACTTTGTTACATATCTTTTTAGCATTGTGGGCATCATGAAGTTAAAACCTGTACAGCAAAAGTGAACTTAATATGGCGAAACTCTATTGGTAGTTCATTTTCTGGTAGTATCAAAAAGGTGAAATTCTGGTGTTGGGACGCAAGAAATATACTTTTTTGGGGAGGATATTCAAAACGGCTGCCGAATTTGCAAATTTTTACCTTGTAAAAAAACAAAGGTATCTTGTTTTTGTCACTTCTTTAATTGGCATGTTTGCTGCTGATCGCAATTTACCTATAATTAATAAAATTCTGTTACATTAGACGAAAACGACATAAGAATGTGATTTAAACGTCAGAAGAGAAGATCGTTCAGCGCAAGAAAAGTTAAAAACACCGCATTGAATTGCTCTTGCAGGATCCAGGAGAGATTAGGCCTGCTACACCTAACAGTTTCTATGTGGACAATAATATAATGTGTCAAACTTTCAAAAAAATCTGAACCAGTTTCTCAGTGGGCAATATAATTTTCTAAACTTAAGAGAAAATCTGAACTAGTTTCTTTGTTGACATTATTTGTCCAAATTTAGAGATAAAAAAAACTAATTCTGTGTCATTCCTTTTCTTCTTCACACAAGTAGTAACTTGATTTAATTGAATCGATTTAAATCTTTGACACAAGATATTTGACTTAAGGTTACCAATAAGTTAAACTAAATTATTTACATAAAAAAGACCACTGTCACCATTGTAACACGTTAACCTAAGTCTTCAAAATATGTTTTCTATAACAAACCATATGTTACAAAGTATTTGACATAATTAGTTGTTTGAAAAAAAGAATATAACTAGAAAATATCTCGTCAGACACGACTGCCCCTAACGCCATGTGAAACTAGTTTCAGTGTTTGATAATGTTCTATAAATAGTTACAACGACATTTATCGTTACAGCCTGAACTATATACTCATCCGAGGTAGTATCATACTTCAAGTTGATAAATGGAGAAATATAGAGAAAAAAATCTATGAATAGTTACATGCAGTGACATTTGAAACATGAACTCAACCGGGATATTCTCATATCTGAGATATATGTGAACTTTGATAAAAATCAGACACAAAACAATCTAGAACAACAAGGTAGAAAAAATTCTATCAGAATCATATCAAGTATATAATACAGCCTCCGATAACGCACTAACAACCGTAAATATAATTCAGCATAAGGCTTTAAGAATAGCTCGGGGAGCAATTAAAATACTCCAAGAATAAGTCCACTTGCAAAAAGCGGTGAATTACCACTTAAGTTAAGAAGAGAGAAATTAATTCTAAAATATTGGGCTAGAACCCAAACATTAGGAATAGACTTCCCACCCAATCGAATAGTACTAGACGCCAAGAACACCAAGTATAGAAACAAATTATATGGTCATAAAAAACACCATTTAGTCATGTAACTAACGATTTAATAGAAGAACATACATTAGAAAACATCCAAATTGAAAAAATATCCCCTAACCCAACACAACCCTGATTACCAGGCCAACCAGATATAAGCATAGACATTTCAAACGCGACAAATAAAAAAGAACATCCAACAGCAGCTACGGCAATAGCTTCAGCTATTATCGATGATAGATATAAAAATATACCTCAATTCTATACGGACGGGCCAAAAAACACTGACAACAATAGAGTAGGACTAGATATTTATTCATTAGAAAATAATATAGCCGTATCCGTAAGACTAACTGATAACTGTTCCGTATATACTAACGAATTAATAGCTATAGGTCTAGCACTTAGAGTTATCGACCAAGAAACACCTAAACAAGGGACCGTAATTCTAACAGATAGTCTATCCTCACTTCAATCGATAGAAACCAAAAACAGTACAAGAACCATCGTACTTAACTCTATTTTTTATTCAGTTTAATCTCTTAAAAATCAAGGAATTCCCGTAAAATTCGAATACGTATCAGCCCATGTAGACATTCCCGGAAATGAGAAGCGATAAATTAGCAAAAAAGGCACTTAAACAAGAAACAATTCAGTGTGATGTTAATTTATCTAAAGAAGAGGCAATACTCTCTAATAAACAAAGCCATAGACAATAAATGGATAAAAACATGGAACGAGGTAGGACAAAACAATGCATTACGTAATATAATAAATGAACCAATTAAAAATACCAAGCTATATGGCCATAGTTAAAGTGAAGATGTTACAATAACAACACTGATAATAGGTACAACCAAAACTAAATGGAAACATCAGTATTATGAAAAAAGATATATCTCCAACCTGTCCCAATTGTAATGAAAATGAAACAATAGATCATGATTTTTGGCACTGTCACAAACATAAAGAAGAAAGGAAAGAACTAAACGAAAATTAGATCAAAATCACGACAATTTCTGAACGCCTGGCAATTAAAGAATCAAAAAGATTAATATATAAAATTCTGATATAAAATTGAGCAAAATAGACTACTTGAACTGTGGACCCGAGACCGTTGGTCAAGGGGAAATAGCTCTTATGCCATTTTCACTTTTTTCTATAAACATGAATTATATCTCAAAATAAAAACTTAATAGTTTTTTTTCATGAAAATCAACGAATGAAGAAAAGCTTCAAAATATGCTTTGTCCATTTATATATATTTGTAACAAATTATCATAACCTAAAAATACCAAATCACCTATTCTAAAAACCATCAAGCAAAATAATACAACCTAGACGTCCTAGAAATAAGGGAAATAACTCTAAGTGTCTTAAGCGAAAATCGCTTTATAGCAACATCTTGCAGGTCGGAAAGACATTTTTTAATAAAACAAGGGATGGATGCAGGGTAAAAAGTTAAGTTGAAAATAAAGGTTACACAATAGAGATTCCATCCATAAAACAAACCAACTCCTGACGGATATAAGAAGGCTGCAACGTATGTGTTTTGACAACGTGCGGGTAGTTCCGTTTAGAAAACAGACGGGCTGGTGAGTTTACGGCATGGCACAGCGTCCGTCGTCTGTTGGCCGTCCATCTCTCAACTTTTCTTAAAAATCACTACTAGTCATGAATGACTCAGTGGATTTTGACCAAACTTGGTTTGAAGCATACTAGGGTGAGAGTGAACGTGAGGGGTAGGGCCCAATAGGGGAAGTATAGCAAATTCTTTAAAATCCTTCTTCTAATGTAGGAATGACAGGTAATTGTCAAAATTCTGCATAAAGCATCCCTGGGTAAAGAGAAACCAATATTGTATAGACGGCTCCCCCACCCCCTCCCCTGGGTTGTAAGGGGTGGAGCCCAACGGGGGAAACATAGCAAATTTTTTGAAATTCTTTCTTCTTCTGTAGAAATGGAGTGTTTTGCTATAGTCACTGAAATATCCAGGTGACCGTTACAGGCTCTCTGGGCCAAAAATCGCAGTCATTGATATGCTGATGACACACACATTCACAAGGTCATAAAACCACAGGACAGTTGGAATACAGTCTTAGAAAGTCTGGAAGCTTGTCTGGCAGATATCAGTATCTAGAAGAACGCCAACATGTTAAAACTCAATCAGGAAAAGACGGAACTAATCGTCTTTTCTCCAAAAGTGTCAGCAAACAATGGCTCTCCAGCTCAAGGTTGGTACCAGAACTATTGAGACTGTTCCAGCTGTTAAAAACCTAGGGGTATACTTTGACAGTTCTCTGAACATGGAGAAACAAGTGAACGCGATTGCAAAATCCTGTTACTACCAGATCAGGAGCATCGGCTGTATTCGGCAGTTTCTAGCTGCGGATGCATGCAAGATTTTGGTGCATTCACTTGTTACCTCTCGGTTGGATTATGGTAACGCCCTGCTCTGTGGTATATCTGACACACTAACTAGTCGTCTGCAGAGGGTTCAGAACACTGCAGCAAGGCTAGTTACTCGTACTCGAAAGAGAGAGAGAGCACATCACACCTGCGCTGTATTCGTTGCACTGGTTACCTGTACGATACAGGTCACAGTACAAAATTCTAGTATACACATACAAGGCATTGAATGGAACAGCTCCTCGGTACCTACAGGAACTTCTTACGCTGTATCAGCCGTCAAGATTACTGCGGTCGGAGTCAGAATCTTTGTTGTGTGTCCCAAAATCTCGTACTGTGACCTACGGAAACAGATGCTTTGGGAGGGTTTCGGCTACGTTGTGGAATAGCTAACCATCTGCTATTAGGAAGTCGAATACCCTGGCCAAGTTCAAGAGGGACATAAAAACTCACCTGTTCACGTCTGTATTTTAGAATTTTTGCAAAGACGTCATGTAAATACCACCCTTTTATTTGTTCAATTATGTGCACATTGCTTGTTAAATGTATGAAAGCGATTGCAAGCCTTTGTTGTTTGTTTACACAATTATAACTATTACTATTATCCATATGTTGTAAAGCGCATTAGAGTAATTTTACCAATTATATAGGGCGCTATATAAATGCTGTATATTATTATTATCATTATTATTTTTTACTTTGCTGTATTTGTATTTTGTAGAAACCTTGTCTTCCACTGATGAAGGTACATGGACCAGGACTATTGAAGTATGACCTCAGTAAAATACCAGCAAAGTTGAGAAAAAGACGTGATGCTGATTCTGCAACCAAATCACACAAGAGAAGGAAGTTTACAGATTCAAATGTATTGAAAAATGAAAATCTGGTAATTTGTTGTACTGCATCATCATGCTGTGTCGAATTAAATTGATATTGTCAATTAGTAATAATTATATAAAGGACTGTGTGTGTTCCTTACAAGTTGTTAGTATGCCTCAGATTTATGTCATCCTATTGGTTAGTGTTGGAAATACATGCAAGAAGAAAGAAATCTGCACTCTGTTTTTTGTTTTGTTTTTTGTTGTTGTTTTTTTGTAACCGGAGACACTTAATTGAAAAGATAATGTGTCATGCATTCACGTTTGGAACCAAGCTCTACCTCACGTGATGTCTGCATCATCTGTATGTTTCATAACAAGCTATGCAAAACTCTGATCCAAATGTAGCTTGTTATGAAACATAATGATGATGCAGACAACAGAGGTAGAGCTTGTTTCCTTGACTGGGCTCCCTTGGTGGGGGATCTGAATGACTTTGTCCTTGTTCACGTTAAATCTAAAACATAAAAAGAGAAGCTCAAACTTTAAGAGGGTTGTAATAGCGTAAAGTATGTAACTTTTGGTATTGTATCAAAATATACAACATCCTATTCTTATTTTAAATTGATCATAAATACTCTTTGTCGGAGATGTAGCATATTTAACTAGTGTCTGTTTTCCTGAATCTTCTTTTGTATGGATGAAAAGGGATTTTTATCAAATTTAGTTTGAGTATTATAAGGTTAAGAAGACTCAATGTTTTATACAAAAAGGTTATGACTCCAATTTGGGCATAAAGGCGGAGCCCAATGCAGGAAATATAGTTTTTTTTAAGTCACTCCTTTCTTTTGTATTGAAAAGGGAATTTGATAAAATTTGGTTTGCAGCATCCTTTGGCGATGAGGTCTTAATGTAGTACTACTTAAAAGTCATTTCCTACAGTGAAAACGTTCTTTAATTTTTAAGGTATATGCCCTTTTGTAAGAGCGATGTCAGCTATCTAATTATTTGAGAAGCTTGTTGAATACTTATGCTACTGTTAGATATTTTTTCATTTCATAGATAATGACGAAGTCTTCCTAGATTTTTGGTCTGTTGTTAGAGTGTTTTTGTCATTCACATTTTCCTTGAAAGGAAGCTATACTATACTGTTAACATATTTACTTTTGCACACTCTAATGCTCAATGATGTATTGGCGCACGTACAGTACTTGTGGTGGAAAACAATATATAGAAAAATTAGTTAGCACAAATGTACATTAACATCATGTGCAAATTGTCCTTTTTTTTGCTGTTTTACCAGGCACAAAGATAGACTTCTTGTCAACAAGAAGAAAGTCGGGGTCCTTCTTAAGACCTATTGTGATGGAACAGACTTACTGGATGAGAACCTGTCCAAGGCTATGACAAAGGTGTTATCAGTTGTTTCCCCGTTGTTGAAGCATTTCTTCAAACCCCGGAAAACATTGGATGTTTTCATAGTTGCCCATTTGAGCACCGGCCTTTATTAGAATTGATAGACAGCTCTTCACTAGCATGTGCTTTACTGCCATGCACAGCAGAGAATGAACGCATCATAAAAGAAATGCTAGCTATGAAAACAGACATTGCTGAAAACTCCACTTTGCTCTCCGCAACTCAACACAAACTTCCTGTAATCTTTGATATTACAAAATCAGTTGGTTCCAAACTGTCTTCAGAATACTAGGAAATCGTCACGGCAATTTTTGAAAAGTCTAAATCCACATTTTATGTTGGTGAATGTAGACAGAGAGCCTATTTAGATACTTCTGAAAACACCGCTGAAAACACTGCCTACTTCCCAGCCCTGCAGAGAGTTAGGCCAAGAGGGAACATCAAAGCAGACAAGGCCAGAGAGGATTATGAGAAATGTTCCAAAGATTCCACCAGACACCCTTACTTGTTGCCTAGCATATTCACAGTATTTTGTGAACATGGTATATTTAAAATGCAATATTGACAAATATGTTTAATTGTGAAAAGAAAATTCAGCAGCATGATTTAAGGTCAATATTTCAATCAAATATGGATATTGTGGTGTATGGATGCGTACATTTCACAAGCCCTCAATATAATCTTTTGCAATCATAGAGAGGTAATTGAAAATAAAATGATGGTGTAAGTTTGGTGTTCTGTAACAAATAGTATTCAAGATTTTTTTTGAAATGTTTGGTGTCTCATGTTTATAATTGTCAGGTAAATTTCCAAGAATGAAAATTCTGTGGAACAATGTAATAATGGTTATACAAACATGTATAGTTGTGTAATTATGAAATGTTTTCATTTTCAGGTATATGCTATGGTTTCCATATTATGGAGAATAATGAATCCCCACACGTTCCTTTTACTTTTATGGAGATGGTGTGGAGTTAGTATGGAGATGGTGTGGGGACGGTGTGTAGATGTTGTGGAGTTGGTATGTAGATGGTGTGGAGGTGGAGGTGGGGTGGAGGTTTGGAGGTGGTATGGAGTTGGTGTGGAGATGGGGTGGAGGTTTGGAGATGTGAGGTAGATAAGGTGTTGAGATGACCTTCGCTATTGCTCGTAATTGCAATTCTTCTTTAGATTGCACTCTTAATGTTGATGTCAGATTATTCAGTTCATTATCAAGGATCATTTGTTCTCATAATTTCAGCACCATCCACAATCATATATGACAATGCCTGTAATCTGCATGCATACTGCCTGAACAGAGACCCAGTTTTCATCAAGGATACCATTTTTGCTGTGGACAATTTACATTGGAGGAACCACAAATGTTAGAATTGACCTGTCACAATATATGATAAGTTGAAGCATTATTTGCTACTTTTTGACGTCTTCATTTCTTCAATTTGACAAAATTTCCCTTTTTATCTTCTTTCAAAGTTGCATTACTAGTTGATGTATGTTGCTAATAATAGAAGTTATATACATATATGTATGTGATAATCACTATGTGCATAATCATTTCTTATTGATTACATACTAGATGTATGTTTTGAGATGATAGATATCATCACACATTTGCAGGAAAAACTTTGCAAACTTTCAATACTACTTTCATACCAGATGATCCAATAACTTAGCTCTGTATTAATGATAATAATTTCTAATGTGAAGTTTTCTTTTTCTTTTCCAGCCTGTTCTAAAGTCTACCACCCTAAACATCTTCCAGCTTTACTTGGAATAAATACCCAAATGGTGGAGCAAAATAACGCCAAGTTAAGGAAGCTTAAAAGCCAACTGTCTTATATGAACCATGGGAACTTCATAAATCATCTAATTTTTTTCTTTGGCGCTGTAATAAGAAACTTCTGGATAAGAACTAATTATAGTATAATTGTACAATCCAGAGAACTTGGTCATGATGGTGATAAGATGTTTATGAGGAACAAACTATTACCATGGTTAACCCAACATTTGCGGTACCTATAATTCACACACAGTTGTGTGGTACGCAAAGACAATGGTAAATTATTTGATTGCATTGGGGAAGTTTCTGAGAACTCGTAGGACAAACTATAGGGTTGTGGTCAAGATCAAAAGACATGTGCTTTTTCGTCGCTGAATTTTATTTCCCTGAATATTGATGGTTTAAAGAAACTTGTAAATACATATTTTGGAAAAACATTTTATTTGAAATTTACAGTCGATTTGATGACGAGTTCACATATTTACTGCTGGGTTAAAAACATTTCTCTAACACAAGAGAATGGAAGGGTAAAGGGTATTGGAACAGTAGTTGATGGTATATTGGTGTATATTAACAAACACATTGGTGAGTTTTTCATTATAATCCACAGTCATTTAAGTATAGTGTTTACTTCATTGTAAATATAGAGACAGGCACATTTAGCAGGGATACACTTTTTTGCTTCGTCTATATACCACCAGAAAACTCCTGGTATTACAATGGTATGTCCGAGACAAGATGGCATGGTATTGACACTTTAGCTGCAAATTAGGTTAAAATTTCCTTTCAGTTCGACGAAGTACATTTTTTTCTCAGCAGGTGATCTGAATGCCGGGTTGGCACAGAAAAAGATTTAATATTAGATGATGACACTAGATTTTTTTATGAAAATGATTGGTTTAATCAACATATAAAAGGGCGGCATTCTATCAAAATCGTCTTTTCCCCAAAGTGTCAGCAAACAATGACTCTACAGCTCAAGGTCGGTGTCAGAACTATTGAGACTGTCCCAGCTGTTAAAAGCATAGGGGTTTACTTTTTTTTGATAGTTCACTGAACATGGAGAAACAAGTTTATAACTAAAGATGCATGCAAGATTTTGGTGCATTCACTTGATACCTCTCCGAAGGATTATGGTAACGCCCTGCTCTGTGATATATCTGACAAACTAACTAGTCGTCTGCAGAGGGTTCAGAACACTGCAGCACGGCTAGTTACTCATACTCGAAAGAGACAGCACATCCCATATATTCCTTGCACTGGTTACCTGTGCGATACAGGTCGTAGTACAAAGTTTTGGTGTACACATACAAGGCACTGAATGGTACCTGCAGGAGCTTGTTATCCTGTATCAGCCGTCACGATCACTGCCGTCGGGGTCAGAATGATTATTGTGTGTCCCAAAATCTCGTACTGTGACCTGTGGAAACCGGTGTTTTGGGAGGGTTTTGGGAACGTTGTGGAATAGCTTACCATCTGCTATTAGAAACTCAAATACCCTGGCCAAATTCAAGAGGGACATCAAAACAACTTAACCACACAATTAAAAGTGGCATATGGTAGTTTCATGATGGCTGTGGAGAATAAATAACCTTATAGACGAAGGACTTTATATTTGAACTGATGCCATTTCCAATGTTGACAGTAGGATGGCCATGGGGTAGTCTCCTCTTATTGCAGCTTTGTCCCTTTCACTATGATGGTAGACAGAATCATGTCCAGACAACTCCTCCTACAGTTTCATTCAAACATCTTGAAACTTCATTGATTAGTCAGTACACATTGAAGTTGTACCTACAGTGCATCTGCGCTTACTGTTTTGATCTGCTGTTTTGCTGCGCTTTTTTTAACCACAAGTGCTTGGGGCAAAGTTATTAAAATAAAAATTACTGTATGTAATTTTTTTGACTTTTTTTTCACACAGTAGACAATCTTTAGTGCAATACCTGAACAGCAGTATCAATTGCAATATTTAACAAATCTGATTTGCTATTTCAATGCCTTAATTAACTTAAATATAAAGGTAGAATTTAAGAATTTCACCATGACTTTTGCAATTATTGACTACACAGTTACTTTATGGTATATTGTGAGTCTAAGATAACTAGAACCCTGTGCATTATATACCACCTGTCAACAGTAAATCTAATATTAATTTTATGGAATGTTAATGGCGGAATCTGTGTGAAATTTAAAGATAAATGTTTTCTTAACTTTATTTCCACTTATGATATTATATTACTAAATGAATGCTGGATACCTAATGACTATGAACTTAATATTGATAACTTTAAATCTATTGTAGTAACAAGGAGTTTAACAAGGTAGAAAAGCTCTGTTTGCATAATATTCCAAATGAAAGAATTTAAGTTTAAATGCTCAAATGTTTTTGATACTTAGGTCAGCAATATTCTCTGTTATACATCTGAAATATAATGGGGTGTTAAGAAGTGGAATAATATTGAAAAGGTATAGCTCCTATCTAAGAACCTTGCTGACACTGTATATCTCACATCTAATAACCTTGCTAATACTGTATATCACCTATCTAAGAACCTTGCTGGTACTGTATATCTCCTATCAAGAATGCATCAAGCTCATGTAAATCTCCATTTCAGTTGTACACACTACAATACACTTACATAAAGTTTAACAAGAAATGCCAAAAAAAAGGACTACAAACTTCAAACACTGACATTTGGTTTCCTTTGCTTCATTGCAGAGTATAATAATGATAACAATATTACACATTACCATTGTACAAATACTTACATTTGTAGGAATGCCCCAGCTTAGAAATGTCCTCTGTAAAACAGACAAACACAAATCAGTAACAATCTTTATCAAAATATACGCTATAATATCCTTATCAATGAGTATGATTTGACTAATACAATAAAAACAAAATATTTCAATATGTAATAACTGATACAGGAACTGGAACTGTAGGGAGAAGGCTGTCCTATACCCTACTCCCATAACATGAGAGGCCGCTGGTCGGCCTTTTTTTCTATCGGATATGATTTTGCCGACTGCGACCTCTCATTTCCGAAGCACTTATTCTTTGATGCAGTTTCCGCCCGAAATCCGGGCGGAACAAAATCGGCTTGAAAAACTCACTTAAGTGGTTAACAGTTCATGACAACGATGTCTACTCACGGTTTATATAATAAATATCTCATATGTATGTCACAGACACAAATATATAGTATATTACGGGATAGAACACTCAAAATACATGTCCATGTCGTTGTAGCTCATCTCTGACCTACATTTAAAACATGGCTTCCTGGATTAATACATAATAGCAGGGGGATTTCAAACGGAACGAAATGATACGGAGTTTGTTTGTATTCCGCTTGTGAAACATTACATGTAATACATTTTTGTATTAACCGGAAAAATCATGGCAAATGCTGTCTGCGTCGCTTCGAATGCGGAAAAACTCATTATTTATGTCTTTGACACGAAATTTTTACAAATAATCATGGATTTATGGAAAGGAATATTTATTGGACCCTTTTGACCATTTAAATGTATGTAAATACGATATACTCTTTCTTAATCCGAACTTTGAAAATGTGAGCGTCAGCATCGGGAAAATCAGCTATGGGCAGTTAGAGGTTACGCGGCGCCTGTCAAAAGTTTTTCGCCGTGTAAAACCTCTAACATTGTTGGAGTATCTTATACCCCTGCCACTCATCATCTGCAAACACTTGTATACCCGGTAGTTCAAAGATTACATTACAATATATCATATTGCATCAGAAATTGATAGTGCAGATCATCTACACAGGGTCCCTAACATTTCTGTGTAGTTTCATCGTAATAGGTTCACAAGTTTAGGAGGAATTGTTAATTGTCCGGACAAGATTTTTCTACAGACAGGCAGACAGCCGGACAGATGGACGCAGATAGACAAGCTGATTCCGGTATACCCCCTAACTTCGTTCTGGGGGTATAACAACATCTAGATATACTAGCTGTTGAGTTGTAATACATGTTATAACACTGAAACAAAAATATTTGATGCACTATTTAATCTACAGCTTTTAGCAACCAAACTTTCCAACATTTTTATACTGGTAGAATACATGCAGCAACCAGCTGTAGGACAAAGTGGATTCAGACAAAACCTATTATATACCCTCTCCTGGTAGGGGACCAATAACAGTAAAGCGTGTAAGAAGTTAGTCCTTGCCATTACTCTCTAAGCATATATATGTAGTTTCTGTAGTAAACATTCAAGTGACAAGAAACAAGATTTTGTTTGGTAAGAAAAATTGTACATTACTGACTGGTATGACTTATTGTGATAAAAGCTGACACAGGTGTCATCATATATCATGCATCAATAGTTTAATCTCTCTTATTTCTTATTCTTACTTACATATGAACATGTTGATATCAAACCAATTAATTGAGACATGCATTCATGTAAGTATACCTTTCTGATACTACAAAGAGCACAACTGGCTTCTCCATATTTGACTTCCAAAACTGGCGGTGTCTCCTTATTTGCTGTTTTCTGTTTACAGCAACTTCCCAGGCCGTTGTTGGAAGGTAACCAAAGAAGCTGGATATTTCATGACTGCTTGATGTGCTATACATAAAACAACTCATAAAACTTATGCAACTAAAACTAGAATGATGCTTGAGTTACATTTTTATTACATTCATTTATGAATCAATAAATCTTACATTACTCAAATCAGAAAAAATAAAAAGTAAATATCTAAATATTATCATTATCATTCAACTTGCACAAAAACATAATTTTGTATTCCTGGACTGTTTATTCCATATTCAAATGAATTATTATTGGTACAAAAACATTAATACAGAAGATCTAAATGTGTCACTGATGTTGTTTGGAATCTTGAGAAAGGGAAGGAACTGTATCAAAAGTCATTTACTGTCTATACTTACTAAATACAGAAGTCTATCACCCAGTTGGTAAGACATTTTCCAGGCTGCAGACTCACCAGGTCTGCCAGATGTAATGACACCTTACTGCATTGGGTGATGCTATAATCATGTAGAATATTATAAATGTGAAAAATAGGTTGAATGATAACGGCATACACATATAAAATGCAATTCAACTTAACATTTAATAATAGCATTAAGTTATCATTCAACTGATATATTTAATGTTAAAATTTTACATAGTTCTCAACATAATTAATAAGTACTTCTGTGACATAATGCTATTCTTCTCATCTTATCTCATTTATTTCATGATAATGTAATAACTTTAATTACATATTTAACTATGTGAATATACTGTATAAATGTTAAATTTCAGGGGGCTCATATTTCGCGGTTGTCACCGTAGGACCTAGTTCGCGGGTAATATATTCCGCAACCATTCCTTCTAAACTTCCTGCAGTAAACCTTTCCATACATTCAATTGTATTTATAAGTGTTCGCTGGGTATTTATTTTTGCACTATAATTAATGACCGCGAATACAGTGAAATAAAATCCCCCGCGAATATTACCAACTGTACAGTACATCCTCCTTTCACGAAGTACTTTTTCTAGGCATTTGATATAGAAGCTTGACGTAGGCAGGAGATAAAGTTATAATACAGGCAAAATTCATAAACTGGCACTGTGTGTAAAAGGTCCAAGAGGGATCTTGGATCACCATTGTGTGAAGTTTATTGGTCCTATGTGGCACTGCTATGTTCTGCACTTTTCTCCCCTTTTTTCTTAATATTGATCTGATTTACTGACATATGCTATCAACAAAAGTATAACTTTTCTTTTTTTCTTTTCATCAGTCTCAAAATTTAATATGCTAAACTATGGACAAATTAGAACCTGCAAATAAATGTCAATACTTTAAATCATCTATGCAGAAACGGAAATAACAAACTTCAAATGTCCAAATGCAATATGGTCGTATATCAGCTTATATTTCCTTATCAGACTCAAAGTTTTACAATCAAATCTAGTTAAAGACGTAACC